GCTGCGTTATGAAACCACTGTAAGAGGAGATGATGTGACACAAACATCAGCGCGCAAAATTGTTCCAGAGTCTTCTCCCCCAAAAAACGCACGCACGCGCGCACTACGACTCCTCTCAGCTCGCGTGATATGATGGTGGTGGCGCGGCGCGAGACCCTCATGTCCACACACGAGTTTCATCTGAGGGGATGATGATGAGCGTCTGGAAATTGCGCAGTTTTTAATCCACTGCAAACGCAGGCACTCCCCTCTCTCTGTTTCGAGCTGCTTCCCCTTCTCTCCTTCTTTCTCCTCCTCCCAAGCTCTCGTTTTCCCCCCTCATGCAGGTTTATTTTCGGTGGACGAGTCTCTCTTGGACCCGCACCGCCCCGCCTCCGTTTCTCCCGGACGCACGAGACTCCCAGATTCCTCCATCATTATCACTCACTCATTCACTCTCTCCATCTGAGCTGGGAACAGGGTGTCCGTTTGAGGGATCATGTGGGGCTGGGATGTATCGATTTTCTGTCATCTCTAGTGAATTTAACCCTTCTACTGTCTTCGGGTCTTTTACGACCCCCCCCCCCCAGTAAAAAAAATAGGTTTTAGTACTGGAATCCGGGTTTGTGACAATGTAAACAAACTATAGGCCTACATTTTGAAAATAATATAAAGAATATTTTAAAACAGTGTTCCATCTGTGGATTCAAATTAGACTTAATCCAACATTAAATAGATCATCCTTTAATAGAAACAATCTCTATGAATTAAATCAGACCTAAACATATTTGGTTACACTTTATTTAAAAAAAAAAACAAGAAAAGGTGTTAACACCAATTCTCGCCCAGGACAACTGGAAGCTGCTAGGGACTGGAAGATGCTGGCTGATCTTGACCAACGGCTTATTTTTCCACCTGAGATTGCCACCACTAACCTACGACCAGATATTGTTTTGTGGTCTGGATCAGCACGCATTGTTCAACTGATAGAGTTAACAGTGCCATGGGAGGATGCGGTAGATGAGGCATATGAGAGGAAGAAACTGCGGTATGGTCATCTGGCCACTGAAGCAGAACAGCGAGGATGGAGAGTCCAGGTTTATCCAGTGGAAGTGGGTTGTCGAGGTTTTGTGGCACACTCTACAACCCGGTCCCTCAGAGACGTCGGATTCAGCGGCCAAGAGTTGCGTCGCACAGTAAGAACTTATCTGAAGCAGCAGAAAGGAGCAGCAACTGGCTGTGGTTGAGACGGAAAGATTCTAGCTGGCTGTGTACATGCTACCATGCTACGGTTTCGTAGAGTTCTTGAAAACTTGAAGAGTCTGTTGGTTTATTTATACGTTCCTGTGGATATTGCGTGAATGACGGGTGGTTGGGCAGATATTGTGTTTTGCGGTAGGTGGTATGCCATACGGAACCGTTGTCCACTGAAACTGCATATTAACGCACCAGTGGGGCTCGACAGCCTTAGTCAAACGGGTTGGCGCGTATGGTCGGGTTGCGGAGAGATTGTGAGATTGTGGTTAGGTCTCAGCAGCAGGAGGGATGTAGAGGTCAGTAAGCTGGACTGAGTTGAGTGGGGGGCGGAGGGGGGTGACTCTGGGACGCCAGAGTCACTGTCGAGCCCTCTTGAGGTGTCGTGGGCTAGTCGACGAAACACTGAGGACGGAAGGTGCCCACTTGAAGACCCTAGAGATGTCCTCTACTCGGCTCAATCCAGACGGTTGTCGTGCTGGTCCTGTAGTTGCAGCCGTCACGTGCGCTGACGCGCCAAGTACACTGCAGCCATTAACGCCGGACAGAAGGGGAGTCACACCACCACGTGGAAAGAAGCGTAAATGGATGGAGAAGCATAGTTTACTGTAAAGCTACGTCTTAGTTTTGCTTATCTTGGCGAAAGCCGAGTACAAATCAGCATGAAGTTTTAACATCTACTCTCGTGTAATGGAAATCATAAGGTGTCTGAATTACTGTGTAAATTATACATTTAAGTACTGAGTAATAATATTAAACTACATTACTATTGGGTTAGGGTTAGGAATAGGGTTTGGTTTAGAGTAAGTTGCATGTAATTATTCATAATTTATAGTTGTTGTTACTACAGTAACTAAATGTGACGTGTAACAGGGACACTGTAAAATAAAGTGTTACCAAATATTTGACAATTTGTAGCCCTTAATTTTGTGTATAAGAGTTGAACCTGGGGCCTATATATGTGCAAAAAGGGGTCAAATGTGAACTTGCGTCGGAACTTGTTACAAAATACTTTAGGTAATGAAATGCTGAAAGTGATAAGGGACACCTGTGTAGTTTGTTACTCAAATAATATTTATTTTATATAAAAAAGTATACATTAAAAACACAAAGAGTGTTTTTAAACCTGTTGTACTGCAATCAAGAATTAATTAATGCAAAAGTGGGAATGTAATTCCTGGACGGCCGAGTTTATCAAATGTACTGTTGATCAAATAAATGCAGCCTTGTTGAACAGAAGAATTGGTAACACTTTATTTTGATGGTCCACTTTAGACATTCTACTGACTATAAGTAACTTTGCAACTACATGTCAACTAACTCTCATTAGAGTATTAGTAGACTTCTGCTTATTATCTGATAACACTTTATTTTGATGCTCCTCAACAAACATTCTGACTATAACTTTGCAACATGTCAACTTATTCTACAAGCCTGAACTTTAGTCTACTAGGCCCTACTCTAATGACAGTTTTAGTTGTCAAAAGTGAATGAATGTCTAAAGTGGACCATCAAAATAAAGTGTAACGATTGCTCTGTTCACCAAGGCTGCATTTGTTTGATCAAAAATACGGTTCAAATGTAGCGATACTTGGCACTGATGTCCCTGAATCTTCTTTCAAAATTAATAATAATAATATGCAAAGGCGTCAATGTAAAGCATGATCGGGCCAAGTTTATCCAGATTTCTGTCTATATAAATAATATTATTGGTTGCACTTTATTTTACAGTAGTGCACTTATACCCAAAAAAGTACTAAGGTACCTGTAAAAAACAATTAGTTCAGTTTACTTAATTTAATTATGCAAACTCGTTGCCTTAATTTCATCAAGTAAGCATAACTTAATTGCATCAAGTTATTCTTACTTAATCCATTTAAGTTTTATCAACTTAATTGTATTTGTGATCTGAGGAAGTGTACTCCCAGAGTGCATTGCGGCATGAATAAATGAATTGCTTTGTTTTACTATTTTTGGCTTTGTTTTACCATTACAATTTTATTTGCTATCGTTATTGGGGTTATACTGACAAGAGACCGCAAATAAAATTGTAATGGTCTAATTAATTAAATTATTTAATAAAAAAAAATTGTTACCATTGTTGTGGTTTGCATGCTGAATGTTGAAGCCTGTGTGTGACTCAAGCAAAATTGCTAGATATCATCACAAATATAGAGGGATTATATCAACCCAATGAAAGATTTAAGCCATAAATGTTAGCAATAAAATGTTAAAAGATCATTATTACACATGAAATATAGCTATGTTATAATTAATACATTCATTCAAAACATGGAAATAATTGAAGTATAAATATATATAATATGTATTACTTCACTTCCTTTGAAATCAAATATTTGTGATTTTATGATGCATCACTGCATCAATTGGAAGATAATTACAATAATATAATTTAAGTTCCAAGTGCCCAACCAAAGGGAACATTAATCACAATAATGGTGAGAAAAGGGAAATCAACATGAATTTATGAAGTCAACTAAAGAATTTTGATGTTCTCTTAAAATGTGTAGGTGTATTGACAATAATATTCAAGATGACTGGACAATGAGCGAATGCAAATAAGAATGATGACTGCAGAAGTGGAAGAAATGAGTGAAAGGTCTATTAAGAATTGCCCCGCCTGTTTTTTTTTTTTGATTTTTTTTGCTTTGGCAAAATGGTACCCAAACCAGTCAAGTAATGTTTACTAGGTTTTTCTGAGTAACGAAGACATAGCATGCAAAGTAAGTTCAACAAATTATTAGACATTAAGTAAAGTTAACTTAAAAATTCTTAGTAAGAACAATGTTAGATTTTACAGTTAAGGTAAGGATCGTGTGTATGTTCATGGTTAGCACCTAGTTATTGTAATTACTGTACATAGTATGTACATGGTGAACAGAACTGTAAAATAAAGTGCTACCATATTTGTTTATAAACAAGTTTTCATACAATACAGTTTGGGACCAGATTTTCAGTCTGTAAACCTGTTGCACTGCAATCAAATATTATTTTTTTATTTAAAATGAATGTGGGTAAAATTCTATTCAAAGATCACAGGTGGGTGTAGTTTGTTTCTGTGATGAATGTAATAGTTGTATATGGCATTATGAGAGTTGTGAAATGGAGGGCCGTGTGTGTATGTGTGTGTGTGTTTTCAGTGTATTCCTCTTGGAATGTCCGTGTTCGGTGTTTTACTGCCATAATTGAATACACAGATGGAGGACGTTTGATGCAATACTATACAGAGAAGAGCTAACTCGATTATGTCGCTTCAAATGTAGCGAGACTCGGGACTGATGTCCCCGAGGGAACCAGATCACTCAAAACGCAAATCAGATTGTCCACTTGTCCTCAGTTGGCACTCCAGGACCAGTATTAAGTTCTCATCTGGTGTGTGAGAGGAGGGTACAGACAGAAATGGGGATAAACTTGGCCTGTCGAAGTCTTACTTTGGCGTTTTTGCGTCTCTCCTGAGCTACTCGCAGCAACAAGTGTCAGATTCATGCGAGTTGTGTCTGTGGGTCTGAGGTGGGAACATTGGGGTAATGAATAAACCCTGGGGACTTCATCCTCCATTTCGCGAATCAAAAGATGTCTTTCTCTCCCTTCTTCTTTTTAACTTCCATTTTTTTAAGCAAAAAAAAAAAAAAATCTGAAGTACTCTAAAAGATTACAATGGCGCCTTGGAGGCCAATTTGAATGTGAATCAGACATGTTGCTATGAGCACCCCAACAACCAGTTAGAGGTACAGAGACACACAGACCTGTGGCTGAATAAAGAGCTCCTTACAGTCCCAGCAAGTCTGGCTCTTTCAGAAGAGGACGGCAGAGTGAATGCAGCTTTACACGGAGGCCACCCTCACTCAGAACTATTCTTCTGTTCCAGTTTCTCTGCTCTCTTGTTCTCTTCTTCCAAGAATTTCCCTCAATCTTATGAGTGTCCTGAGAAGGTCGCCGCTTCTCTCCCCCTCCGGCTCTGAAGAACAAACACAGCCACATGCGTCAATCATCATCAAGGTACAAGCCGACCGCGGGGAAAAATGCAGTGAATGACCACAGCCGTCAAACTTAAAGGAATAATTCCTGTGGATACAGAATGGTTTGGGGGCGCGTTTCAACTAATTGGATCGTAGTTGCACAATTTTGACAATTTTCTGAAATTACAGAGCCCTGGATTACTGTAAATTTGGCATATGTGAACTCAGATTGTCCTAGGCTCTGAACACAACTGAGTTAGCTGGATTTGACACAATCCTGGATTGTTCGGTACATTTTTTAATTGTTGTCATCGCAATAATTTGCAACAGGTCTGTAAGCACAAACCTACAAGAAATTAGGATTCTATACCAAGTGCAATAACAATCCCGTCCAGCTTTTTACTTATTACTATTACTTTATGTATTCAAATCTAACAAGTTGTTGAAGCCTAGTTCTTTGCAGCCTTAAACACACATCTGTACACTGCATGGTCAAAAACAAGTCACTGTTTGGATTTAAATAGGCAAATGCTTAAGCGTCTATGATTGGATCATTATTGCAGTGATTATTATGTTTCTAGCATGTTGTATATTTGGCAACAGTTCTTCTAAGCCTAATTGATGGAGTGTGTAGCTTTTCATTTCTTAAACAACCATGTAGGAAGACACATCATGGCCATATTCCAGGATGAACATATCAAGATTCATCCGGCTCAAACTGTGAAAGAATGGTTGTGAGGATCATGAAGAATCAGTTTCACACATGAATCGGCTCCTCTGAGTCCAGAGACCTTAAACTCATTGGACGTCTTTGGGATGTGCTGGAGGAGACTTTACAGAGTGCTGGACTCTTGCGTTAAGATCTTGACCAAAAACAAACAGTCTGCTGTACAACTAGAAAAGTGTACTTGACACTTATTGCATTTTTGAGCATAATCTTCTTTCAAAAACAACAGTAGTGTAAATATTATACAGTATATGATGCCAAACTCTCACACTGTATTGTTGATCATGGTTTTGGATATTGATATATGTGCCCTTTCCTATAAATGCATTAATGCATAGCTACACTCACCTAAAGGATTATTAGGAACACCATACTAATACTGTGTTTGACCCCCTTTCGCCTTCAGAACTGCCTTAATTCTACCTGGCATTGATTCAACAAGGTGCTGAAAGCATTCTTTAGAAATGTTGGCCCATATTGATAGGATAGCATCTTGCAGTTGATGGAGATTTGTGGGATGCACATCCAGGGCACGAAGCTCCCGTTCCACCACATCCCAAAGATGCTCTATTGGGTTGAGATATGGTGACTGTGGGGCCCATTTTAGTACAGTGAACTCATTGTCATGTTCAAGAAACCAATTTGAAATGATTCGAGCTTTGTGACATGGTGCATTATCCTGCTGGAAGTAGCCATCAGAGGATGGGTACATGGTGGCCATAAAGGGATCCGTGGCATTTAAACGATGACCAATTGGCACTAAAGGGCCTAAAGTGTACAAAGAAAACATCCCCCACACCATTACACCACCACCACCAGCCTGCACAGTGGTAACAAGGCATGATGGATCCATGTTCTCGTTCTGTTTACGCCAAATTCTGACTCTACCATCTGAATGTCTCAACAGAAATCGAGACTCATCAGACTAGGCAACATTTTTCCCGTCTTCAACTGTCCAATTTTGGTGAGCTCTTGCAAATTGTAGCCTCTTTTCCTATTTGTAGTGGAGATGAGTGGTACCCGGTGGGGTCTTCTGCTGTTGTAGCCCATCCGCCTCAAGGTTGTGCGTGTTGTGGCTTCACAAATGCTTTGCTGCATACCTCGGTTGTAACGAGTGGTTATTTCAGTCAAAGTTGCTCTTCTATCAGCTTGAATCAGTCGGCCCATTCTCCTCTGACCTCTAGCATCAACAAGGCATTTTCGCCCACAGGACTGCCGCATACTGGGTGAATACTGGGCCCATTCTTTGTAAACCCTAGAAATGGTTGTGCGTGAAAATCCCAGTAACTGAGCAGATTGTGAAATACTCAGACCGGCCCGTCTGGCACCAACAACCATGCCACGCTCAAAATTGCTTAAATCACCTTTCTTTCCCATTCTGACATTCAGTTTGGATTTCAGGAGATTGTCTTGACCAGGACAACACCCCTAAATGCATTGAAGCAACTGCCATGTGATTGGTTGATTAGATAATTGCATTAATGAGAAATTGAACAGGTGTTCCTAATAATCCTTTAGGTAAGTGTATATGACTAGTTAAAGGATACCAAAGTCTATTTGAATCAAACAAATGGTCTAGAACAAATTCTAGAAAAAAAGGGAAGGTTTCCCTAAATACCCGAATAGTAGAACATTTTCACGAAAAAATGATTGATTAATAAATAAAATGGCACTGAAGAAAGAAGAACTTGTATACCAGTTCAGATCATTCCTGAGATCTAAAAAAGTAACTTCATCAACTGTAGCGCCACCTTCAGGTCGATTCTCACAACATTCGATTGACAGCCTCTTGCTGACATCCTGCAGGCATGTACTAAATTTCATGATGATTGGCCAATCTATTGGTTGTTAAAGTATATTATGTCTCGAAAATCTGCAAAATCCCTGAATATAAAAATACAGAGATGTTTTGTCTGCTTTTATTACACACATTTGAATTAATTTACAACTTTGCAAGGTCATAAAACATAACAAATTGCGATGGGTTTTTCAATATATGATTTAGCACATATTACATTCTCTTTTTAAATTACTTTTTACTCACTGTGTAAGAGGGCTAACAAGAGCTTGTCATCTGTTGAACACACTGTTTAAAATTAGAGTGATAATGAAGTGTCACTGAAAGTGTGAGTGTTTAGCTGTCAAGGCTCATGAGCAGAGCGGTTCCTCTCTTGATCCAGTGATCATAAGGCACAGCTCCAGACTTCAGATCAACAGCCACCACGAATGACGGGCGACCTGTACCACCAGACCGTACGGGGTAGTAGTAGCAGGGACAGGAGTACATATCTGCACACACACACACACACACACACACACAATAGTTCTAAATTTAGAGGTCACACCACAACTATAACAACGAAACAAAATCGGTGCAATCACTTTCAGGACGATTGGTTTTCCAGCTGATGGACGATAAAAACATCGACAGCCAATCAGAATCCATCCTGCTTTCAGAGCTCGAGCATTTAAAGTGGCGCAGATTTTAGAATAAATCGAACAAACGACATGAGGGTGAGTAACTAATGACAGAATTTACATTTTTGGGTGAAGTATCCCTTTAAGGCAGTGTACTCACTCTTGGGAACCCTCTTGCGGCTCTCCACAGGTTTGAAGTGGATGGTGGGCATGGGACAGACCAGCTGCATGGGCTCTGCCTCCACCAGACTGGCAGCTTTCTTATCCCAGCCTGCCCCCTCCAGATACAGCCCCTGGATGAGCACCCCATCCTGGAGGAGAGGGGGGACAAGAGGTCGAGTGCAAAACAAAGTCATTGAGAGAGAGAGAGAGCATGAGGGAGTCTACAGTGCAAGAATTTTACTTGGAAACGTGACATAAGGGCTTTTCACACTGCGCTTAACTCTAAACACCGCTTTGCTTTTACCCGGCGTTATGAAACCCTGCTCCACATTGCAGTGGCAAACTTGTACAGTGTGAAGGTAGGAAGGGAAAGCAGTGTGTAAGTAGATGACAGTCACAGAAACATATTGTATATAAACAGAAAATTCAGCGTTTGAGAGAAAAAATGTCAAATGCTGACAGGAACCGCGACAATTTGAGTGAAGAAGAGACCGTTTCATTTCCTTTTCATTTACAGTCCGAAATGTCCATTCAGTATAAACTCGATAGTACAGTCGGCAATACAAGGATGAGCAATGCTAGAGCTTTTATAACCGGTCATATATAACATGTGAAGCTCAACAGTCTTTTGCTGCACATCAGAACTATATTCTTTGGTTTTACTCGTGATGAATGATTAAGGGAATTTGGCCTTTGTGTTTCCTCATATTTACACTCCTGTGAAACGAGTCACGGCTGGACAAGTTCATGTTCTTAGTCACCCTGGTGTGATAAAATATACGCAAAGATGAATGGGAATATACTTCAGAGATATTTTACTCATAATAATTTATAGGGGTGCCAAAAATTGTGGCCAACATGCACTGGAGAAAAACATTTATTTAATAACGTAATTTTCCCAACACTTTCAATTGTTTTACTTTTAATTAAAGGTTAACATTTTGTGAATTTTTTTAATGAAAGATCAAAAGAATAAACAATGCAGGTTTATTTGTATTTCCTGGTAAAATAAAGGTAAATCAAATAAATAAAATTCTCACAGCCGCCTTTGCTCATATTTACCAAGGGTGGCAATATTAGTGGAGGGCACTGTACATACAGTAACAGTTAATAATAACTTCAACTTATAACATTAAAAAATGAGTTAAACAAACCTAGTAGTTAAATGCATTTAAAGGTACAATATGTAGGATTTTTGCAGTAAAATATCCAAACACCACTAGGCCAATGTTATATATTTTGTTTAGTTGATTACTTACAATATCCCCAATTTTTCCAACTATTTGTAAATCGTGAGAAATCGTGTCGGCAGGGGTGAGGAGTTGCCAGTCAATGGCGTCATATCCGTGTTACCCCCAGTTTCCGTTTGTACTGCCATAGTAACCATGGCGACAGACGTGGACAACTGGGTTATGCTTAGCAGGACGCTCACGCTGTTGTTGTTTTGTTCAAACATTTTGGACCATGGCAAGCAGACTTTGAGACAAAAAGAGGACTAGAACGAAGATCAAAATCTTTCGAGATGCCGAGAGCTCCACGTCCGCGACTAACTTCGACTTGACAGAGACGCGAGTGTTGCATGTACTTTATTAGAGACAGGCGAGCAAATGTACATACAACTAATCAATGTTATTTAGCTCAACATGATGAAATGTTTATGATCTGCATGTTATTCTAATGTTGATCTAGCTCACTGCTAGTCTCATCCAGCCAACAAACAACCTAACTAACAACATTCAACACACTCAAATGCCGTTCAGTGTGATAGTGTAACTGTTAGAGCAAGTGAAACAGCGCTGCGTTACCTCAAGTTTAATTCGTCTAATAAACGGACCTGTGAGTATTAATTCAGCACTTGCGTGTAGTTCGGTAGAATGAAATGTCCTTATTCCTTTATATCCGCGGGACCCGCGTTGTGTGTGACGCTGGTATACGTCTCTCATTAGCAATCGCCCCCTGCTTCACACCAGTCATGTTAAAAACATCAAAGTATTCACTCATCCATAAAATATCCATCAGTTTGACGACAAGATCCATAATTCCGCTTAATGCTTTGGGTCATCAATATACGCCTTTGTTATTGTAAGAGGTTAGCGACCCCTGGTGGCGAAAAACCCTACATATTGTACCTTTAAACAGTTATTAATTTAATTACAGTTTGACATGTACTACCACTGAAAAGTTTGGGGTCAGGAAGATTTTTTAAATAACATTAATACTGTTATTCAGCAAGGATGCATTAAATTGAGTGACTGTAAAGACATTTATAATGTTACAAGATATTTCTATTACAAATAAATGGTGTTCTTTTTAACTTCTATCAAAGCATCCTGAAAAAATGTATCATGGTTTTTACAAAAATATGAAACAGTGCAACCATTTTCAACACTGATAATCAGAAATGTTTCTTGAGCAGCAAATCAGCATATTAGAGTGATTTCTGAAGGATCATGTGACACTGAAGACTGAGAGAGAGAGAGAGAGAGAGAGAGAGAGAGAGAGAGAGAGAGAGAGAGAGAGAGAGAGAGAGAGAGAGAGAGAGAGAGAGAGAGATGCAAATGTCAGGTGCATCAGCTCCTAATGGACAGAGGATGGCAGTAGTTACTCACCTTGGGAGGGAACAGCAGATTGTTGTCATCCACAGTGGTGACAGTGAACTCCCAGGATAGAGTGTCTACAGACACCTGCATAGAAAACACAACACTGGCAGCATTAAAAAGCTCTCCACACACACACACACACACACACACACATAGTTACAGAACCGCCAAGATAAGCTCACTCTGAGTGTATCCTCAGTTCTCACTGGCCACCTGTCGGTGTGTGGGGACATTACACATTAGGACATTTGTTTTTCAGTCCATTTGCTGCAGAATTGGCTGCCCTGAAGCGTCGCAGGTGTCTCTTGATCATCAGATGCAGCTCATTTTGCTGGCGGGCTCCTTAAGGAACTGAGCGGCTGAGCAGAGTGTGTGAAACTCCTGTCTGCAGATCCCAAAAGGAATCGAGAATAAACATCCTCACTGGAGCATTAGAGGGGTAATGGAGCAGGATTGCGCTGCGGCCCATGCAGAATGTCACTGAATGTGAATGCAAAGTGTCAGTGAATGTAATGCGGTAAGGTTGTGTTACTGTGCATGTTTCTCAAATTAATTATAGACCATTGATTTGGTGTGATTGAAAACCGTAAAGGCTGCATTTAAAAAATGTATATTTTTCTGATGTTCCCAATTTCGAGGTTTGGAATCGTAATTAGGAAGTGATGTGCATTTTAACATTGATTTTGTTCAGAATAAAATGAACACGTGGGGCAATTCTCTTTCACTCTTTTTGAATTCCCAAGAAGCTAGAGCACGAAAATGAAGTGCAAAGGACAGACATCATGTGTGTAATTGTTGCTTTATCTGTGTATTTTATCATTCTTGTGCTTCCACGGAGAATGATGGGAACTGGAGCTTAGTCACACACTTAAGCTGCTTTTCCACTGTCAGGCCCAAACTGTCTCATTGCTTAACCGCTCCATTCCATGCCGATGTGGATAAGGTTTCATTTTCCACTGTGGAGTTGATAACAGAGCTCTTACAAATCTAATACAAATTCGTCAGTCGTTGCCTTGATAACACAAGAGTTTACAGACGGCATGAGATGTACATAGCGACCACGTTATGGAGCATGATTGATATTTCTTTTAATTTGATTATTAACTTGTGTTTACGTTGCTGAAATCGCACACTTGGCCAGCTACAGTAGATTTAGTCGACTAGAATCTAATGGGTTTAAATAAATTGTAATGCATCAATAAAGGATTTCTCTAAAATCTCCAACCTCATTATATACTCCTGGAGAAAACATCCATTAACCTGTTAATATAAATGATATTAAGGTCTGAACATGCAACACAGACACATTTAACTGCTGTAACATATAGTATGTCTTTATCTTAAAATTAAATAAAACCACTTAATTCTTTCAAGCAGACATATTTATTTGTGTAAATTAAATATAGATTACTCTTTATTGAAACCATTAATGTTATTTAGTAAAGAACATTGAGTGTTTTTCTCTTTTTCTTTTGTTATTTGAGTAACATTAATGATGGACAGCAGCAGGTTTATTAGGTTACTGTCACTTTAAGGCCGAATGCACGAATCCAATACACTGATCCGATAATCTCTTATATCCATATCCGATATTCTCCCAATTGTTTACGTTCACATAAGACATAACCGAGATTTTGACATAATTTTATGCCATTTTATGTATTTGTCCATTCAAGTGCGAAAGAGAGCTTAGTACTCGTGCGCTGAGAGGCAGAATTGAGCTGAATTGAATTGACCCTTCGCTAAGCCCCGCCCTCCTTAGTTACTGTTGCTACGCCTGTCAAGCTTTCGCGGCTGCCACGTCTATTACAGTGTGAATGCACCGGTGTCAGACATTCCCAAGGAGATATTTAGTCATTTTTGGCGAACAAGTGAAATATCTGAGAGAGCAAGACAAAAGGGACAGCAGTATGCATTCGAGGGATATATCCACGACATAATATGCAACCGATTAGAGAATAATTTCATCAAAATTGAAGCTGAAACCTATACAGGGTTCCTGCACACTTTTGAAAGTCAAATTTAAGGCTTTTTAAGACCTTTTTAAGACCTGAAGAAATCAAAATTAAAACCGTACATTAGGGCTGTGCAGTATTGACAAAAATATATCTTGATATTTTCAACGTTTTGTTGATAATAATTAGATGATATTTTACTGATTGTGTTTTTGTGCTGGTGCCATGGCTGGTTTAGGTCTGTTGTTGACAGCTGACTCACGAAGATATTCATATTTTTCATATTCTATGCAGTGGTCAGTTCACAGCAGTGACAGAAATTAATATTTTAATTAAGGGGCAATATTTGCCACCTTAAATTGATTTTTTTAGGGGCATTTTCACCTATATATGGACATTTTTTCTAAACTTATTTAGAGTTATGCTTTAATGTCAAATACTATCATTCAAATTAAATTATACAGTAATTATACAATAATACTTAATTATATAATAATCATACAGTACCACTGTTACAGTCAAATTAAATCATTCAATCAAAATCCATCTTTGCAGTGCAGAGGTGACAGAAGCGGCATCAGAAGTGGCATTAATTTATTTACACTCCATTTACAACTGCATAAATAAAGCTATGAGATATATATTTTTAAATCAATATTCAATATTTAAATATGAAATGATTTCTAATTTTAACATTTTATTTAAAGGGTACTTTAAATATGAAACCGCAGCGGCAAATCACTGTCTTAATAAATGAGTTGAGGGAGTCATTCATTCAACCGATTCGTTCAAACGGCTGATTCATTCGGGAAAGAAGCAAGTGATTCGTTCAAAACGCGGATTTCAGTCAAGAAATCATCGCTGTCGGTTGCATTGAGACTCTGCTACGGTTTCATTTTGAAATTATAGTCGGCGAAATAAAGGGAAAACAAACAATATTGACAATATTGTGTCTAAAAAGTAACTCAATGTTAACTTATTGTTAATTTAACTGTTGTATAACATAAACATCACAATTGGAATTGTGCACGGGAAAACGGCACTCTTTCTGATATGATATTCTAATATAAGAACATAATATGATATAAATATAAGACAAAAACTAACTTGGGGACATAACAGTTACACTGCACACATCACGCAGTGAAAGCACGAGAGACAAATGCGATGTCAGCTCGCAGTGCCTCGTACATTGTTAAAACAATGATTACAATATCATAAAAGACAATACACATCGCACACCATACGCACATAAAGAATGAACTTACAACTGAACTGACATTTACGACCTTTCTTCTCCTTCTCTCCTCTCGCGTGCAGGAGACAGTTATGCTGCCGCGACTCGCGAGTGACGCGAAATGTCACGTGAACTAGCAAATCCACAAAGATAGAATAATAAATAAATAAAAATTCGTACGCTAATTAGATGGTTTTAATTTGGAAAGCTTTTAGATATGTCTAAGTCAAAGTGTCATCTAAAATTTAAGACCTTTCATAAGTAAAAATAAGACTTTATAAGACTTTTTATGGCCTTAAATTTTAAAAATCTAATTTAAGACTTTTTAAGGATCCGCGGGAACCCTGCTATAACGTTAGGTCCCAGCGCAAGCAGCAGCCGCCTCCTTAGCAGACCATTCAAATGGGAAACACGCAAATTGAACAGCTATGTTCATGCAGAGTAAGTGAAATGTGAAAATAATCTAATATCAAATCAATTTAAATCAAACAGTTTATCCATCAATCTAACACCGGGAGAGCCGCGATCGGATTGGGGTAAAGTTAACGTTAGTAGGCCGTCCGCCGTCGATTAACACAATGCTGAAACATATTTTAAAGTATGTCAGTGAGCCTCCGTCTTGCCTTTAATCGTCTTATTTTACGTTCAAATATATGCATTATGAACAAAGAACCGCCATTATTTCCAAGCAATAGGCGTTTTTTTTTTTTGTTAATCCTGTCGACATTTAGTTGTAAATGGGTCTCCACACTGCTTGATCCACGCCCTGGATTTCTCCCCTTTGGCTTTTAGGTTTCGGAAAGAGAAAAAATGCCACCCCACCGTCCAAACTTTTAGAATACCGGGTATCAGATTTGCACAATCCATACGCACAACGCGTCGGCATGTTTGCCTCGCTCGAAAGCTTGACAGACCTCCCGCGCCTAGTTACGGTTGCTAAGCCACGATTGGCCAGTGGCGGTTTTCGGGCGTGGCTTAGCGAAGGGTCAATTGAGCTCTTCCGTGTCGTCACGCTTTCTCACATTTATCCAGTTCTGAATGGATCTCATTCCAAAACGTTCCTCCCTAACATTTTCGTCTCGTTTTTATTCATTGACAAAAATTTCAATCGATTTTTCGTCATAGTTTTCGTCATTCAGAACTGTTTTTTTTATATATTTAGTAGGGCTGAACGATTTTGGAAAATAATCTAATTGCGATTTAATATGCGATTACTTTTTAAGTTCTTTATCTTCTGTATTATTCGACAAAGACAAGCAATAAATCATTGTATAGTAGGGATGGGAATCTTTAGGCACCTCATGATCTACTTTTTTTCGTAATTAATATTATTAATAACAGTTCAACTTTATTTGTGTAATTATACGCATTTTAAAAAATAATTATTAAAAAAACATGTTAAGAATTTTAAATAGGATATATAATCGAACATAGGTTCAAAATATAAAAGCTAGTAAATAAAGAGGAACAAAAAAACATATTACAAGCAATAAACAAAGAGTGTTTTCAGTATTTAAAAGTAGGCTGTCTGAACGTTTTTCATTCAAGAGCTGTGAGTGATTTGTCTTCTCAGTTTAGATACGATAAGCTATATTCACACTAATGCACAGATCCCTTTTGAAATATAAGATGTGGTTTGTCCTGTTGGTTTAAGATATGACTGACCGCGTTTACATTTATTTCGCATCATAAAAGCATTTTGAGATGCCAGTACATTAACCAATGAGTCGCTCACAGCCGCATGCGCGAGCGCTCTTCACAAAGTTCACGTGAGTATTTTAAATTGAAAGCAGCCTTCTCAGTGATTTTCATATTTGTAATATATAAGCCAACTGCATTCCAAAAGACATAAATAATGCCTTCGTGAAGCATTTGTGAGGAAAATTCCGGCGGGTGAGACAGCGAACTGCAAGAGCAACATCAAGCAAAGCGGCAACCAGTGCGATAAAGCCCGCGAATGTCCTTGCAATTCGCTTAACTAAACCTTTCCGAACTTTATGAAAGATTATTTTTCGTAAGGTTTGAGCGGTTTCGCGCGTGTGTGTGTGTGTGTGTGTGTGTGTGAGAGAGAGAGAGAGAGAGAGAGAGAGAGAGAGAGGCAGCATCTGTTTAATAACTAAGCTCAGACTCGATTCTGAAATTCTCTGAATATATTATTATACATTATATATTATATTATATATATATATATATATATATTACAACATAATATCACATAAATCAAACATAAACTGTTCTTTCCTGTATGCCAGGCCTATATGCATAGCGTGCCAAGTTGATGCTACATCTGCAGACTGCTTTTCTCTCGCGTGTCACGTGACCAGAGTGTAATCGCAGCTTTTGCGGTTTAAAAATCGCGTTTCATCATATCGCGATATTATCGCAAATGCAATTAATCGTTCAGCCCTAATATTTAGTTATCTCGTTTGTCGGTGAAAAAATGTCGTTGACCAAAATTATGATGAAAATTATTTGTCAACGAAATAAACACTATGTTAAACCCCACTGAATTTCATCACATGGACAAACACAGTTGAAACCTTCTTCAAAAAATATTGTCTTTTGTGTTCCGCAAAAGAAAGTCAGCCATACAGGTTTGGAACAACATGAGGGTAAAGATGACAGCATTTTCATTTTTGGGTGAATTATTCCATTAACTTGGAATAATTGGAAAGACAGGGCTTCAAGAAAACCTCTTACTCATGAATATACATTTTAGTCAACTGATGGTTACACTGCCGTTCAAACATTTGGGGTCAGTAAAATCCTTTTAAATGTTTTTGAAAGAAGTCTGTTCTCTTATTCAGGATTCTTTGATTAAAAGAAAATTGAATAGAAAAGCAAATTGTACCAATGTGTGATCAATTTAATGTGTCCTTGCTGAATAAAAGAATGAATTTTTTCATCAACATCAACAACATCAAACGTTTGAACGGTAGTGTATCTTTGATTGAGCACTCTCTAGTGTGTGTGACTGTTTAAGTATAAAAGGACACTAAAGAGTCTTCACCACGTGTGTTTGACGTCCTGTACATGTGAATATGTATGAGCCTCATGACGTGTCGTTGAGCTTGTGTGTGTGTGTGTGTGTGTATGCGAGTCTCACGTTGTTCTGTCGTGCAGAGCTCTGTAGTACGGCGGTGAGGAAGCCCGTTGGGAAGGTAAATCCAGACAGCCAGAAGCGGACAGGAGGGTGAGCGGTTTTTGCCCAGCGAGCGAACTGCTCCACACGCTGGCACAGGTCCCGTGTCCACGACGCCAAGGGCTTCAGAGACGGGTACGCCTGAGGAGAGAGAGCGACCAGTCTTGTTCAGTGGTGTGATTAATGATCGTACTGTTCTGTAACAGTATTTGCTCAGAGCAGGAATTTGACATCAGATGAATGAAATCTGGCGAAACATCAACTTCAAACGGCACAAAATAGCTTAGTGACATCTATCTCCGCTTACAGTAAGGCCTTTCATTGCGCATTGTGTAATTCAGAGTTCATTTTATGAGAACTGCCACTCAAGGCCATTGAGAGGGACACAAAGGAAGAGTTTCTGTTGGTTTGGAGGAGATGCATTGCTGTCTGAGTGATTGAACCACAGAATGCTTAAAAGACATTTAAACAAATCTTACATAACCGCTTCAAATCGAGCAATTAAACTAACATAAATCTGACAGTGCAGAACAGTATGGTCCAATGTTTTCTGGAATTCTTGGGACACAGGAAATTATTCAGCCTTCAGTGTTATTTTCAGTGTTCAAAGAACAAAGATATTTGGATTTGATAGAAAAAGACAAATCAAACGTGAGCGTGGCTTCTGCCAAAGGAATTAGCATTTCAAACGCAATGACTGCCACACAGCACTAGGAAAATACTCATGATTAGTTTCATTTCACACTGTGCCATAAAAAAAACCTTCATGCATTTAGGTTCTCGCTGGCATGAAAATGAGAGCGTTTTGAGATATTTCTAGGCGGAATAAACGCTGTCGCTTTTACCCTTTGAAACGGGGACACGGAGTGAAACAAGCGAGGATAAAAGGTTGCGAGTATCTGCTGATGAATCTGATCTAGCACTCAAGAGCAGACTCAGACTCAAACTTTCCCGCCACCCACACACCAAATGGAAGAAGGGCATGACAATTTGGTGCCCTAAATAATCAGCCAAACCCTTGGTGCCACAATGGAGAACAGAGGCGGTGTAAATGTATTTAAAAATGAATCACAATCGTGGTAACAAGTGTATGATGCCCATTGTCGATCTTCATGACTAGGCGTTTAAAGACGAATCTGCTCAAGTGCCCACATTTCAGCACCACTGTACAACGACTGGGAGGGGAAAAAAGAATATAGACATGTGGTATGCTATTAGAAAAAAAAAAACAATCTTATTGACATTGAGTTAACATTACGGGCACATAAATTGATGAATGACAAATAAATTAATTTGCTTTTATTAACATAATGCTGTGCTTTCCACATGATTGCTTGAACTCCTGAGCTTTCGTTAATTGAAATAAAGCCCGCCATCTAAGTTTTAATGAAAGTACTAAAAATACTAAAAAATAAAGCTAAATAGAAATATAAAACCCCTAAAAATTACAAAAGCACATAACAAAACCAATAAAACTTCAACTAAAATGAAACATAAATATGTAAATAAAGACTAATTCAAAATATGAATATACTATAGTACATAAATAATACTACCATAACACTATCTATCTATCTATCTATCTATCTATCTATCTATCTATCTATCTATCTATCTATCTATCTATCTATCTATCTATCTATCTATCTATCTATCTATCTATCTATCTATCTATCTATCTATCTATAATGGGCTTCCACAGTTGGGGAACCACTGATCCCAGGTCAGTAAAAAAGGACACCAGATCCAATAAACGATGCGAGTGTTATCTTTTAATGGCCTTTAGGTCACAACAGGTTATGTCAACAGTGTCCAAGTGACATATGAGGCCCGACACCTCCACCACTCACAGGCCAGCAGTTATAAAGAGCACAAAAGAAGGGAAGATGAGAGGAAGAGCAGAGAGTCAGCAGCAAATGAAAGTCATATCTCAGCAGAGATACAACGAGTCACTGCCAAAATATAACACTGGACAGAGACAGAGGAACTGTGCGTTCAGTGATAAAGATAGGCTGATGGATGGAGAGGAAAAAAAGAGAGAAAGAGAAAGACAGTAATGAGGCACCGCAGATGGCAGAAGGATAGTCCCAGCTGGAGAGGAAGTCTTAATGGATGCTCTCCACTTATTTTGTAAAAGAGGGGCAGAAAGACAGAATAGAGGGATGGCTAGATTGGCGTTTGGATCAGTATATAGGCCATGCGCTTATTGAAGATCTTCAAGTAAACATGGTTTTGTTTATTTAGCTTATTTGAGTGCAATTAACCTTAGCAATGAACCAAGAAGCCTGCGTGCGCACACACACACACACACACACACACGCACACAGTATAATAAGGCTGTACTGCATCACACAAGGTCTAACGCACACAGACTGCCCTTGTTGACCTTAACACACACACACAAAAGCATTAGTACCACGTTATGCGGACCGAGGCCTGTGCAGTCTTGACATGATAAGCAGCTCTCATTCAATAACAAACGAGCAGAGTGTTTAAACCCAAGGTGAGTGTGTGTGTGTGTGTGTGTGTTTAATCCTCTAAATGTTGCTCTGTTCACCTCATCCTTCACAGAGCATTCCTCTCAACCATTCATTCACACACTCTTGATGCTCTCTGCTAAACTCACACCTCTGACCTTACAGCCCACTTTCACACACTCATGCAGGGCTGTATTACAACTACAACATGACCCGGTGTGTGTGATTCATAGTTATAAGCACTGTTTCAAAACCTAGTGAGATGCGTACATAGATAGAATTTCAAAGTGAGCGGTGGGAGAATATGTTACTCTCTAAGATAGTTTGTTTTGGTCAAGTTGTAAGCAGAGCATGTATTCTGTGAGGAGAAGGCGAGCCCAGATATACAGTATATACACTTCCATTCAAAAGTTTGGGGTAAGATTTTTTGGTGTGAAAAAACAAAAACTTTTATTCATCATGGATGCACGCACGAGAAGATGATGAGATGACACCAACAAGATCAAATCACCAAGCAATATCGTTGACAAAAATAGACGAGACTAAAATGTAGTTAAAAATAAAGACATTACCAAAACCCCTCTTTGTTTTTGTCGAATAAAAAAAGGGCACAAAATATTACAGATTAACTTTTTTTTTTTTTTACGAGCGTTCATGTTTGCGGTTGCCAGATTGTCAAGAGTTTAAATCCCCTAATCAGACCTTTTCTGTTAAAAGGATAAATTTCCTCTCAGTGTTTTACTTAATCTTTGCAATATGGCAACCATCTGCACGCCACAGATGATCTGAAAACACCGACAAACAACATGACAAACTGTCATGAGCCGCTTGCGCTGTTTGCTGCAACTAACAAACCTTCTCAGTGATGAACTGTAATAAATCCAAACATGAGTGTAATTTGGAATTACTAATATGAATTTCACCATTTTCATTTTCGAGAGAAGTTTCTTGTCTTGTCAAGTGTCTTGTCCAGTTTTCATAATGTAGAGAATGTGCTAATTTATATCAGTACACAAGATAAGGTCAAATAAACCATGCATATATGAGCTGACATTCTCTTGATTTGTGCTCATAGGTGAAATGAAATGTAAAAAAAAAAAAATTCTCAAATGACAACAATCGTTGATTATAATTTTGAGCAAAATAATTGTGATCATCAATTTAACCATTATGCAGCATTACAAAAATATGACTAAATATAAGCATCAAAATAAACAAAGTTTTAATTAACTAAAACTAGACTAAAATTCCCAGACATTTAGTTGACTAAAACTTAACTAAACCAAATCAGGACAAGGGAGGAAGACAGTCAGACAGACAGACAGACACGTATAGATTGACAGACAGCAAATTAATTTCTGTTGCGATGCGGTCTATAGTGTCGTCCTTTACCTTTTCCCAGAGAGAAGGCACACGGGCATCGTGGATACAGTGAAATATCTCCTCTAGACTGCTGGACATCACAACCAGACCTCTAATGCCTTTCTCCAGCTCTAACAGAGACAATCTACACACATCAACACTCTAGGGTTAGCATGTCAATATTGATATCTGACATCATATGACTGTTACGCACCACACACACGGACGCACGCATACACACACCTGATGGTGTGCAGCAGTGTATTGTATCTCTGAATCTCCTGCAGCAGTACTACATTCAGAGGTGAAAGGTCATCCTTCAACAACTTCCTAGTACCCTCATAGTCTATCTCAGCGGGAATCTTTTGCAGAACATCAGCAGAAAGTTCCAACACCTAAAAACACAGAGTTAAACATACGCTGAAAGTCCTTTAAAAAATGCAGTAATAAGAGTACGCACAGGTTATACACACCTTGTCTTCCCTGCTGGCTCCAGTGGTGTTGGCGTCAGTGCTGGTGACCTGTGGCTGCAGAGACAGCAGAGTGTGGAAGAGGGTTCGAGCCTCAGTGATCTGGCTGGCGATGTCAGCATTCGGGTGTTGCCCGAATAGTTCTGGATGCTCCAGTGCCGGCAACTGACCAATGAAGTCCAGATAGGAGGCCTGAGGTCCATCACGGGGAACATAGTAAGGGACCAAGGAGGAGACCCTACACACACAACAAACAAACAGCTTTTATAGACTATAGGCCAGATGTACTAAACAGGGCAAATTAGCGTGAGCGCAATTACATAGAAGCGCCAATGGGAGTGGAAAGTTCTGTGGACGATCTAGATATAGAACACAGACACAGCAGATAATTTCCATAATGACCAACGCAATCTACCAAGAGCAGCGCAAATTAGCATAGGGTCGCAAACAAGCAGATAATCAGGTGCGGGTGATCTACTAACAACACAGGCGCAAAATGGGTTAAACATGCTTTTTTTGGGCGGTAAATAATGCTGCAAATACCAGTAAATTGACTACTTCTACAGATGGAAACTCCTACAGATGCATATGCAATAAGGTCAGGCGCAAAAATATCCCTGTTCACGCCTTTCCAGCGCTAATTTTTCACTGTGTGTCTTTAGTAAATCCTGACAGTAGTTTTTAACACCAAAAGAGGGTTTGCGCTGGAGCAAGCTGTTAGTAAATCTGGCCCTAAAACACATCTACAGGCCTATAGGCACAAAGCTTGTATATTGGGCACAGAAAATGTGCACAACAATATTTTAATGCAAAAAAAGCATATATATGTGTGTGTGTGTGTGTGTTTGTTAATTTATATGTATACACACACAGTGCTGAGTAGTAACTGATTACATGTAATCTAGATTACATAATCAGAATCCAAAAATTAAGTACTTTTAATCAGATTAAAAATGTGTAATGTATTATGTTACTAACTACAATTTTTGTCTTGAAATTTGGAATCAGTAACTTCCTACAATTTATAAGGAGTCTACCCAGCACTGTGTGTGTGCGTGTGTATATATGTATATATATATATATAAATGTTTTTTTATTATTATTTATATTTACACACAGTGCTGTAATATATAAATTACTAAAACGTAAAGTACAATTAAAATAAAAACTGAAAATATATAAAAATAACTAAATATTAATAACTATTATAATTGTATATTAGTACTAAATTAACACATTTGTGCACATGTTCTGCTTGTCTGTCATCAAGTTGCACTGCAATGAATAGTTGTTGAATATGTTGCAACTTTGTGTCATTTAGCAAAGGTGTGTGAATGGTTTAATACGCTAATGGTTTAATTGGCTCATAAAAATGATGTACGGTCATTTCATCACATTCCCAAAATAACACATTCTTTAGTTTTCATCTAGAGTTCATTTAAATAACTGAGAGTAGCACAATTTTTCGTCACTAAAACTTCACAGATACTGTAATTACTGGCAATTTCTATTTCGCCCACCAAGTCCATGCTATTTCCTTTCTCTTCTGCCTGAAACTTTAGACCTGCCTCTGCTGTGCACTCAAGTCACCATGGAGGTACTGATTGAAGGTAATTATAGGATGTGGTTGCTATAGTAACAGATGTTCATGTGTGTTGCTGGGTCCTGGGTCCTGAAAGACCAGCAGACTGAGTCAGAGGAAGTGGAACACATTTAACACCAGACGCTACGAGATTCAACTTTCGGCCCCATGGGGGAGCTGTTGGTCTTTATTAGATCAGAAGTGTGGCGGCTGAAGAGGACACATGGGAATCCTCACAGCAGGGCAGAGAGGGGTGTCAGGGATCAAAGGGTGCGTGTGTGTGATAGCTTGACATATATTCAATGCACAGTTTGTGTGTGAGTGAGTAATGAGAAGATCTGTCCGTGAGAGTGTGTGTGATTTTCTTGTGCTTTTGGAACCAGGCAAACAGTCCGGCCATATGGGGACGCTATATCTCTTCGTTATATTCAAAACCTGTGACTAAGAGTGATGATCATACAAACACTAAAGTTATTGTACAGTGTTCGGACCGAATTGAGAGTACATTTGAAATTCTGTGTGTGTGGGTTGGTTTACTACTGTAGTTTGGGGACAAATCTGTCCCCAAATATTTGTTAAATCTGGCAAAACCAGATTTGGGATATTCATAAATAAATTAGATTTAGATAATAGCATTTATAAAACAACAGATGTCCTCATTTAGCTTGATAAAAGCGTGTGTGTGTACTCACTTAAAGAAGGGTGTATCAATAACAGCAGGACAGAAATATTGGTTGATGTAAGTGGTAAGCAGACGCCGGTCCCAGTCGTCGGTCACATGTCCTCCATAGTTGATCCCAGCGATGAGGAACTTAAGAGCGTCCCAGGGGATTTCCTCATACTCATCCAGATAAAGACTCAGAAGATTCTCACTCACCTGAAAGACAGAGAGAGAGAGAGAGAGAGAGAGAGAGAGAGAGAGAGAGAGAGAGAGAGAGGAGTGATTACTGTAAACACAACCGTACGGTTGTCAGAGATCCAGATGAGGTCAGTGAAGATTTAAATGAATGAATCATATCCATGGTATTTAAAAAAAATTTTTTTTATAGCCACAGGCAATACAACATATTAATTATGCAGCTTATCTTGAGCTTAAAATATTATGTGAAATTTAACCTAAAATGTGACCAGGAAATAAAGGTGAATACACAGTGTCATTGAGGGTATGAGCGTGGGTGAGAAGCATGCTTTCAACTATAATAAGTTTGACAAGCTGCCAAAGTCCTAATCATTTTGAAGCCTTATATATGTACATCATCACATGGGTCCTACTTCTCAAGTAGGAAAATACAGAAATCCTTGTCCTTGAATCTTTCTCTACCTCAAAGTCTGAGTCGTTGAAGCTGTAGATGATGTTCCAGCCGAGCTGTAGGAACTTCCTCCTCTCCAATATGATGCTGTGGAAGAAGCAAAGATTGAAGAGCAGCTTGCGGTACAGCAGCGGCCGTGAGCAGCGTGAGAACTGAGACTCAGACACCCGCTGATAGAGACGCTTCATATTCCACTTCACCCCCTGCAGAGAAACACCATCACACACACACAAAAACCACTTTAATTGCAGCTCACATCATTTCAAACATCTGCCTACAGTGGATGAAGTACATGTGTGTACCCTGGGAGGCTCAGTAGTGATTTTGATGCCCGTCTGCAGGATGGCGATGGGGAATTCTGGGTGAGGGGAGGAGCTCAGCCACAGTCGGAAATCTGGATGACATTCTTGGACTTGAAACTCGTCTACTAACTTATCCAGCTCACACATCCAAGAGAGAGACAGGTGACAATTAGCCAGGAACACCCAGTGACCTACAAGAGAGAATGAGAGTTTGATTAGTAAAAGTAAATGATATTTTTTTACATTTTCTGAATAAAATGTGAGTGGTGCTTACCAGTGCTAGGGTGTTGTGTGTGGTTCTTATGTGATTGCTAAGTTCATTTTTAGCATTGCTAGGTTGGCTAAAGTCAAAAAAGCCCTTTTTAAGTATCTATCATTCACTCTATGATGGTCCCTAAATGCAGATCAACACTAGGATTTTGAGACATCACAACCATGAGTACATTAACATATGTCTGAAAGTGTGAAAGCACTCTGAAAGTGTGAACTCTCCTGAACTCAAACTATATGACTTGAATGCAAGTCAGTTTGGATAACAGTGTCTGCTCAATGATAAATGTAACTGTAGAGTTTAATTCTCAGGGTCAGAGAGATTGTAGAAAATACTCCTCTAAATGTAAAATACAACTACTTTTGTAAAATACAACTACTTTTGTATACTTTTGAGTAAAAAGTGGACTCATGTACGCTAGATTACCGTTAAAATGTTTGGGGTCAGTAAGAATTTTAAAATGTTTTTGACAGAAGTCTCTTATAGGGGTGTAACGATACCCTCATGTCACGATTCGATACATATCACGATACTGAACTCACGATACGATATTATTGCGATACTCCAAGACATATGGTTAAAGGTTAACAGAAAATGTACTGTTGATTAAAATGCTACATTTGATATTACATTGGGGTGTAATTGAATAGGCTTGGACTTGGTGCTGATAACCCAATGCACAGGACAATAGTGACACCAGAATAAAAATATTCATGATTCTGAAGCTGAAAATACTGAATTATTTTAGACGAATTTGCTTGCACTCTGTCACTGACTAGATATATTTAAAATAATGTAGGCTACTTTTTACACAAATATTCCCCCATTGCATTATTTTACATTATATTCAACATTATATATAGTAGTTTAATGTAGTACTGACACTAAAACTCTGAAACTTATACAATAATTTTATTTTGGGTGAACTTTTCACAATACATATTGTTGCATTTTTGTATTGCGATATATTGTGACACGCTATATTGTTACACCCCTAATCTCTTATGCTCCCCAAGGCTGTATTAATTTATCAAAAATATTGTGAAATAACATTACTACTTTAAATAGCTATTTTCTATTGTAATATGTGTTTGTATTCCTGTGATGCAAAGTTGAATTTTCAGCATCATTACTCCAGTCTTCAGTGTCACATGATCCTTCAGAAATCATTCTTATATGCTGATTTGCTGCTCAAGAAACGTTGGTTATTATTATCAGTGTTGAAAACTGTAGTGGATTTTTGTGGAAACTGTGACACATCTAACTGAAGAAAGTTAAGGGTGAACTGTTAAGAGAGGGGAGAGGAAGTGTTAAAAACAGAGGCAGAGAGAAAGAGAGAGAGAGATCACTTCACCATTTGCGACTCCCTCTTTGATCAGCCGCGTTGCGATGGGTGCCTGGCCTTGACCCAGCGAGAGGGCAAAGAAGCGCTGACCCATGCCTGACGTCTCTGCCAGCTGAACCAGTGCTGCCGTTGGGTCCACACCAGGGGACAGCACAAAGATCAGAGGAGTCCTCGTGCTGCTGTCCGCTACAACCTGACACACACACACACACACACACACATAGGATAAATGGGTTTTGGTATAACTGCAGATAGGTTTGACCGGTTCTATTTTCTCAGTAAATGCAAAAGTCAAAATGCATACAGAAAAAAATAAGAGAAAAATGAAAAAGGGGGAAAGAATCAATTGCATTTATGTAACCCTGAAACATATCTGATTTATTTCATGCAGTCTCTCTCTGTCTAGAGGGAAACACAGGACAGGAAAATAAATAAATAAAATAAATACAAATAAAAGCCCTGGCATTGGTTGCTATAGTGTGTTCCAGAGTTCCAGAGAGTAAAGTCAGAAAGCAGTATCACATTCAATTTTCAAAAGTTCAAAAGCTGAAAATGTCAGCTTCTTATAGAATGGTGTCATGGACAAGCTGGGAACATTTCACCTTAACGTAACGCACAACTTTCCTGTTTTCAGATCTCACCCAGGAGCCACAGTGATATAAAGAACAAAAAAAGTTAATTTCTTTGCTTATTGATTTTTATCAATACTAAGCTCTCTTTCACTCTGTGTGTGTGTGTGGTACAGGTAAACCCTATGTTTATGTTATGGAGACAAAGGTTGCGTTTACACAGCAAGTCTTAATGCACAGATCTGATCTTTTGACCATATCCGATTTTTTGGCCCGCCTGTTTACATTCACTTTAGACACGACTGGTATCCGATATCAGTGTTCACATTAATTCCCTGCCCAAAATGATTATCGGTGATCGCTTTACTATGTAATTTATATAATTCATGTCAGGTGGCCATGATTATTTGCCAGCATGGACAAGATAACAGCTGTCATGAATATTTTGGAGCACAAAATCTGACCGAACGGATATATACAGCCAGGAATATAACGGTAATTTTCCTGTTATTGTATCTACAGCTCGTTAGATCTAGAATTCGGCAGTGAAATAAAGAGAGAGAGAGAGAGAGTAGCTTAATAGTGAAGCTTGTTGGTTTAATTACAGCGAAGTTATCACCTCATTGCTGAGAAATATAATATAGCTTTCAGTGGTGAAGCGGTTTTATTTATAAAACTCACGAGGCAGAGGTTGAAAACCAGCTCCTGAATGTTTCAGTGTGCGCAATTTCTTTCCTTTATAAAGTTTCCAACCGAAATAAAACAGCTGCGAGTGAGGGCATGTAGGCACATCTGCTTCATAATAATATATTAAAAAGCGATCTTTGTGGGCAAACGTGTCGCCCTCTCCTTGTGGTGATTTTGAAGTGGCTCAGATTGGATGTGAAAAAATCAGATCTTTGTGTTTACATGTATGAAACAAATCTGTGTCAGATGTAAGTAAAAAAATCAGATTTTTTTGTGCCAGTGTAAATGCAGCCAAAATGTCCTCACAAAGATGGCAATATCTGAAATCCTTGTGGTGACATTTTTGGTCTCCATGAGGAAAACAGCTTCGTATTAAGTGGTTTTTTGAAAATGTAAAAATGTAGAAAGTTTTCTGTGATAGGTAGGTGTGTGTGTGTGTGTGTGTGTGTGTGTGTGTGTGTGTGTGTGTGTGTGTGTGTGTGTCACTCACAGCCTTCATATTGAGGATGGGCGGCTCTACGAACTGAGAGCCCAGGTTGTTGATGATGAAAGCCGTGACGCAGATAGAGATGCGATCCTGTCGGAGAGATCGTACGATCAGCATCCTCTGTAGCTCATTGCAGCTGTTCTCCCATTCTCCTGCGCAGAAAGAGAGAGAAAGAGAGAAAAAACAAAGCAAGGAGGCAGATTGTGGCATTCAAAGCCAGGAAGGGAGAGAGGGAAGAGAAATGAAGAGGGAAATTAAGAAACAAGCTGATAATGTGTTTCACTCCACTAACTTTAAAAGGGGATTTTTCATTGACTTCTATTGTTTTCATACTGCACTAATGATATTTTCTCTTCCCTTACTAGGAGCAGCGGGCAGAGAATGTTTTTTTTAAAGTACCTGAACTGAATGATGTTTGCTTCTGTTAATGATTCCCACACGTGCATTCTTCTGCTGATATAGACCATACAACTCTGACATTGGCTCTGATTTCTAAACGAATGACTTTAAGTAATCTGTTCTTTATTGTGAATCGAAACCACAGTGACCAGCGTAATCCAACCTGATTCCCAAAACAAATGATTCTTACGAGTCAATTCTTTTTAGTGAATCAAAACGATACACCACAACCGATGTAATTTAACCTGATTCCCAAACAAATTATTTTACGAGCTGTTTTTAAAACCATACACAGTTTACAGTGTAATCGATCCCAACTCCAAAACATATGACTCTTATGAGCCGACCACCGACCGGTGTAATTCAACACCAATTCCCCCCGAAATGACCCCTATGAGTAGTGAATCAAAATCATATATCACAATCAGTGTAATCCAACCTCATTCCCAAAAAATGATTCTTAAAACAGATTATTTTTAATGAATCAAAACCATACACCACAACCAGTGTAATCCAACCTGATTTTAAAAATGCTGACAGGGAATCAAACATGATTTACTAAGGCACATGACACTTAAATCAGTGTACTAACTGACTGGTTGTTCATTTCCCATCCAGTTAAAGTTCTCATCATTTGGCAATGGAATTAAATGTATTTCCCCAAATATTTCTTCAAGTCAAGTCACCTTTGTAGCGCTTTAGACAATACAGGTTGTTTCAAAGCTGCTTAACAGTGATAAATAAGAAAATAACGATTCAAAGATGCTAACAGATCGCACTACTGCTGTAAAGTCAGTTCAGTGTTGATTCAGTTCAGTTCAATAACTGTGTGAAGTTTAACAATTATGAAATGAGTTCAATTCCGATAGTGTATTTCTTCCTCAAAAGCACTAAAGGAATCATTATTAAAACATTTAAGGAACAAGAATTGTTAAGAGATGTCAGAATCAGAATTGTTAAATTCCTTACAATCTCTATCCTGACCCTTATACCTAACCTCATCCTGTCCCCATAATGTACACAAAACTTGACACACACAACACACACACACACACTATACCAGGAAGCGGGGCTTTCTCTGGCTCCGGATTGGTGTACCAGAGGTGCCAGTCTCGAGGGTACTGCTCAAACGAGGCCATGAGTCCATGGAAATTAGTCAGTTTATCCAGTTCACTTATGTTGTCCCAGTTAGAGTCCAACAGCCAGTTAGAGCAGGGGTTATCCATCTGCTTCTCCTTATCCAGAACCTAATACACACACACACACACACACACCGCACAGAGTGCTTTCTGTAACATGAGGACTTTTTTCATTTTTAAACTAGTCAAGTCAATCCTTTCCTATAATTCACTTTCACGCGCACGCACACGCACACTCACCAGTCCCCCACGGAGGAAGAAGCTATAATCATCCATGCTGAGCTTCCCAGACGCCTCCAGGATCTTGGCACACATGTGGAAACTGAACAGGAGCTTGTGACACTCAAACAGTCCTCGACAGGTGTATCTGCAAACGGATCAAACACTCTGACATCACTCTGAAAGTCTGCTTAATATGATTAAAACACATCACATCTATGACACACACGTAAGATGACAACTGTATATGTGTGTGCATAAAGTACCCAGTAGTTATACTTGAGTTACAAATAAAAAGATAACCCATGATAAAAAGATAACTTATGACACAAATACTTGAGTAGATGTTTTAAAGTAACTGATATTGCAGGCAGAGTAATGAAAAGTATGAGTGAATGGTAAAAACGAGGGCATGAGCTGATCAGATTGTAGTTGAACGGTTGGAGTGGAGCGCTAGAGTCTGTTAGAATATAGATGACTCACTTCAAATAGTTCTTCACAAGAACCGTTCAGAGAGTGTGTGAGCTGTCAGACAGACCCATAACTCGTGATTTCAATTTATGAACAAATCATTCAGACTGCATATTAAAAGAATGACAATTGTTTGAGAATTAAACATCAATCCCAAAATGTCAAGGTCACTTTGTTTTATTGAAACTAATTTCATAGCTATCATTTATGCATACACATTTATGTTTTTCCAACAGTTTTGTGCCTAATAAAGTTTCATCAAAAATTGTGTGTACTTGTTTACATGAGAAGTCAAAAATCAAAGAAAAAATATTGTTTTTATTTCAGCATCTTTTCAAATCAAGCTGTAATTTTGTCAACATTCATTCATATTAACAACATACATATTAAGCAGTTTTCAGTTTTGATAATAATAAGAAATGTTTCTTGAGCAGCAAATCAGCGTCTTAGAGTGATTTCTGAAGGATCATGTGACACTGAAGACTGGAGTAATGATGCTGAAAATTCAGCTTTGCCATTCAATTAATAAATTATATTTTAAAATATATTAAAATGTAATAAAAATTAACCTCTGGGGCATAAAAGTGCAAGTAAAGTGGAAGTGTAAAAATAAAACTGCTCAAAACCAGAATAAAAGTATTTCTCCTTTACGCCTCTGTAAAGATATGCGTGTGTGTGAGTGTGTTTCAGACCTGTAGACGGCATAAGTGTGGTGTCTGTTGAGGTTGTTTATCCTCTCCTCCAGTTTGTGGCTGCGGGGGCTGCTCTCTATACTCAGGGTGAACAGGTTGATGTAGGCGTCCAAAGAGTACTGATACATGGGGTCTATACAGCCCAGATCATTCAGTACAAAGAACAGAATGGACGCCCTCTGGGCACAGGGGCGGTAGGCCTGAACACACACAAACACACACACACACACACACACACACACACACACACACACACACACACACACACACACACACACAGATGGGTGTCTATAGCTTTATCTGCATCTCCTGCTATCAACATCCTCATCTCAGCAGTCTTTTTATCTGTCTGCCTTATTCAGAGCTGCAATCTTTAATCCAATCTGGCAACCCTTTCAGCACCATCTCTCTCCCCTTGACCTCCCCCTCATCCCTCTCTCTCTCTCTCTCTCTCTCTCTCACCTCTCTGGCAGTATCGATTTGGCTCTCGGTCAGTTCGCTGATCTCTAGTTGTTCTGCGACCTCAGTGGCCGTGACTTTGGAGGTCTGAAGGGTGTTCACCAGCTGAACGTCATCCAGCAGGGAGCCGGTCGCCTCGTTCAGCAACCTGTACACACACAAAGGAAACGGATGAGTGAGATGTGCTAGTATAAATGCACTGATTTTTATAGTTACTGATGTGTTAGTGGCACTCATATAAAGGTGTTAATGGTGTGCCTTGACACATGTAAGAGTGTGTGCCGCCCACCGCAGGATCTCGTCCTCCAACTCCTGCAGTTTCCTCTTGCCAGAGGCGATGTTGATCACCAGAGAGTCCTTCTGTTCCTCCAGCTCAGGACGCTCCTTCCTCACGACGATCCCCAGCAGCTGGGCCTCCAGACCCTGACGCACACAGAGTTATATTTCATCCTCAAAGACCTTTGTCATGGAAACAAGCTCAATAACACAAACACTGACCTGTTCTTTAACAGCAAAGTTGACGATGGTGGTTTTGGAAGAGATCTCAGGGGTGTAATGTGGATTGGACAGTTTGGTGGTCATGTAGAAACGAAATTCTGGACTGTATTCCACCTCTTTGTCTCCCAGTTTTAACAAGAAACGCCCACCTGCAGAACACACACAAGAGATATGGAACATCTCCTTGTCAGATTTGAACCTACAAGGCTGGAACTCTAAATCACAGTGCCAAATTTGACTTGCCCTGGTGATAATTTCACTGGCCTTAAGACATTTCTTTTCTTTTTCTGTTTGCTATTTTAGCAATATATTTGAACTGAAAGCAACTTGCTCTGACATATCTTAAAATATGTCACAATATTTATGCACACTAGTACTGTTTTTTTCTAAGGCATGTTTATAAAAGCTACTTAAATGTCCTAACTGAACTAAGGCCTAATCCTGGCTTAATCTGAGCCCTGTCTGTGAAACCGGGCCATGGATTTTCTTTTTTTGTGTGATTTTTATTTTATTTTATCATTATTTCATTATGATTTGCAACACATAAATATATTTTCAAAGTTAAATAACCTTTACATATTTAAATTAGAAATATATCTGTAATGTACACCGATATAATAATCTAAAAACGCATTCAGGGCTCTTGACAGACATATTCATAAACACACAACATGAACCCATGACATCATGCACCTTCTTTCATCCTTATTATCAAGCACTTTTATCAGTCAATGTGAGCTGTGTGTGTGTGTGTGTGGGGACTAACCAACTCGCGTGAGGGACTTGTTGAGGATGGGGGCCAGTGAAGGATCTAGTTCCTCTTGGACGTTCTGCAAGAGAACCGGGGAACCAAACTGCACCGCATTCTCCAGGATCCGCAAAAAATCCGGCATCTGCAGGTCTATCACCTTCAACCCCTGACAAAGAGAGAGACAACATGAGGACTGGACGAGAACATGAAGGACACACAGAGGACAAGATAATGACATCAACTAAGGAGAAAAAGTAAAGGTAGCAGAGAGGATAAATATGATTCAAAAGTGATAAATGGACATCGAAGAAAGAAAATGGGATGTGAAAGCGACGGAGAAGAGCTGAAGGAGGCAGAAAAGCTTCAGCTCTGTCATTTTGTCATTGTTCGTAAATGTCAGCGTTTAACTGTAGCGTGTGAACGGCACTCGCCGCTCCAGACACTCACCACTACAGATGAGAAAAGACCAGCGAAGAGGAGGAAAAGGTCACAGACAAAGAGACAGAGGAAAAACAGAGACTGAAGCTGAACAGCAAATTATCCCGAGAGATGAGAGACTGTATGAAAATGCATGTCCTCCTATATCTTCTTCTGAACACACCTGACAGACTATCTGTTCATCTCTCTCTCTCTCTCTCTCTCTCTCTCTCTCTCTCTCTCTCTCTCTCTCTCTCTCTCTCTCTCTCTCTCTCTCTCTCTCTCTCTCTCTCTCTCTCTCTCTCTCTCTCTCTCTCTCTATCCAACTGTCTGTCTGTCTATCCATCCATCCATCCATGCACAGCAAACAAAACCATCTCTGTCCAGGCAGAGAGTCACAGAGAGCGAGTGTATTAATGTGCATCTGTGTTCAGAGGGAGTGATAAATGGAAGGTGTATTGTGCTAAAGGAGAGCAGGTGAGGAGACGCAGTCTTACAGGGAAGCCAGTCTCCAACTCACAGGAGGATTGAGTTTGGAGTTCTTGTATTCTAATTAAGGGCTCTGAAAATGGCTCGTCTGAGGGTTAGACGGTGAGTCATGTGACGAGGCATAGTGACTCTGGAAAGGCTACGTTGGCGCTGAATGTGGGTTACGTTTTTCTCCATGGAGAATTAGATCTAACGTTGTCTAATAATAATGGCAGTCTTGTTTCCATTGTTTCTGCCTTGCCCTGAAGTCTGTATTTGTTACCAAGACATTTACTGCAAAATAATGAAGTCTGTGTTCAGTACAAGGGCTCTATGAACTCATAGGAATGTGTGTGTGTGTGTGTGTGTGTGTGTGTGTGTGTGTGTGTGTGTGTGTGTGTGTGTGTGTGTGTGTGTGTGTGTGAGAGAGAGAGAGAGAGAGAGAGAGAGAGAGAGAGAGAGAGAGAGAGAGAGAGAGAGAGAGAGAGAGAGAGAGAGAGAGAGAGAGAGAGAGAGAGAGAGAGAGAGAGAGAGAGAGATTTACACGTTTGGACTCCATGTTCTTAATCCACTTTAGTGCTTGTCCTTGAGGGTCCACCATTAGTGGCCATCTGTAGGGAAGGACAGAGAGAAAGAGAGAGAGAGAGAGAGAGAGAGAGAGAGAGAGAGAGAGAGAGAGAGAAATATTGCTGCTCACTATAAATGCATGTCACATTATCCATAAATAGGCTATTTCATAATAATCCATAATCTTAAAATCCCATTAATCTGTTTAGTGTGTGTATGTGTGTGCGTGTATGTGTGAGGGAAGAAATTAGCATTAGCTATAAATGAACAATCACAGAAAACTGAGCCTACTATCATCTTTATCTAATTATTCTCCAATCACTATTCATTACTGCCCATTATTCATGAGATATCATCATTATTCTAATTAGCGTTAAGGGATTGGCTCTCTGGGCCTGACCGGTTGCCACGGGTGACGATGACTCCGTTCTCGGTGGAGAAGGCATCAGATGGGAGGCCTTGGATATTCCATTCGCGCACTGCCGTGGGTTTAGACAGAAACACTGCAAAACTGAACCCCGGAGAACACGGCACCTCCAATTCTCTCACCTAGAGATGAAAAGAGTAGCGAAGGATTCAGGCAAGGGCATTTGAATGAGAGGAAAGAGAAATTGTCAGAGCTGTCAAATGCATAACGTCATACTATTATCCGTAAAGTGTGCAATACTATGCAATACTGAACCAGTCCCACTGCAAAATGACAGTAGTGCTCTAGATGCATGTGATGTTGCTTGACACGTGTATCAATAAAAGCTATTAGCACCATGTTTATACTGGGGGCTAAAGGCGAGCTAAGGCAAAACAGACAGACAGAACAATAGACAGACAGACATTTAGATTGACAGACAGATATATAGAATGACAGATGATAGACAGACAGACAGACAGATAGACAGATACCTGTTTCATCCAGATATCTGTGACCAGCTCATCTCTGTAGTTGGACAGGAAAGGGCCCATATAAGACAGGAAGGCAGCACCCAGCAGGCAGTCTCCCACCAGACAGGACATGTTCTTCTCCAGACCCTGAGCAATCACACACACACACACACACACACACACACACACACACACACACACACACAATCACATCAGAGACCTCTGGCTGCATTTCTCATCCATATATAAAACATCAGGGTGACTCTCTGTGTGTGTGTGTGTGTGTGTGTGCGTACAACAACTGTCTCCTCCCAGCGAACTCTCTCTCCCGCCAGTCCAGACACCAGCTTGCCGGCCCGGTCCAGTTTGAGCTCCATGTCCTCGGATTTCCTCCGCAGCTCTTCTTTCTGGGCCAGCTTTTCATCATACTGTCTCTTCAACTGATCCAGTTTTTCTCCTACCTATAGACGTACACCCAAACATGTTATATAGCGCTATATCACTCGAACAGCATTAACATAGTCACGTCCACAAGCTTGCACAAACACAGTGCAGGACAGACTGACACACACTGACCTCTCTGAGTTTGCCCTGGGCTTCAGCCAGTGAGGCCTGTTTCTCAGCCAGCTGAGTCATTGCTCCATGCAGCCGGGCTCTCTTCGGCTCGACCACCCTGAAGATACGGCCGTAAACCTGATATATACACACGCACAGGTATGAGAGCATATAAAAACCTCATGTTTCAGTGTCACACTCTTAAGGCCCCTTCACACCAAGAATGATAACTTTACCAATAACTAAAAAGTATTGCTCAAAGGTATCCCGATCTTCAAGCTGAATGAATTTTTTAAAAATAATATTTGGATTCCTTGCTATTGTCGCTACCTTTGGCTTGCTTAGTTGGGTTTTAAAAGACGATGGCAAGCAGGGCGGGGCAGAGAGCCGTCCTCTAAATAAAGTTGACTTGTTCTGACACTTTCAAAGTGATTTTTTTCCCCAGCTGATGAACGAAAACATAAAAAAACAAACATTAAAACTAGTGCTGTCAAACGGTTAAAATATTTAATCGTGATTAATCGCATTAATGTCATAGTTAACTCGCGATTAATCGCACATTTTTATCTATTCTAAATGTCTCTTGATTTCTTTTTGTCCCATTCTTTTTTCTCATTTTAATGCTCTTATCAACATGGAAAAGTGGATCGGCTTGCTTTGTGTAAATGTTTTTTTATTGAAAACAACATTGACATATACAGTGTTCAATTTCACACTAACATTCTCACTTGGAGCAAATAATCTCTCACACAATGTAACACTGTCCATAAATAATCGAGGTCCTGATATTGACGAGGGGGCGGAGAATTCGCATCAGTGTGTGTGTGTGCTTGGCCATCATCAAGTGGTATTTCAGACTGGACGTGCTGCGATGATGATAGCTCAGTTCACAACGACAAAACACACAGATCACTTTGGTCTTGTCAATGGAACCATTTGGCAACTTTTTACAAGTAAACTTTCCATTCAGAATCTTATTGGCATCCATTTCGGCGTCTCACGCTCGTCATCCACTCAAAACGTAACGTTAACCAACTATTTGGCCGGCTCGCAAGCCCAAACAAGTGTGTGCGGCGTCGTGCCTGTTGTTTTGTTTCCGGTCTAGCTAGATCCGCTTGCGCTTTCAAAACGTCCTCGCGCGGCGCAAGCCATTGAAATGAATGGGTTTCATAGCGCAGTGCCGCGCATGCTGCGTCCTGTTGCAAAAGCATGTGAAAAAAACTACAAAGTTTGCTGGGCCAAAAAGACCGTTAATCGCGCGATAAAAAAATGAACGCCGTTAATAACGCGTTTAACTGACAGTCCTAATTAAAACTCTAATAAAAAATTAAAACAAATCCCAATAAAAAAGTCTGCAGGAAACAAAAATTGCAATTATCTTTTCTTCCCTATTGTGATGAATATCTGAGTGAAGCAGCTTCTCAAATAGGGCGGGAGTTAATATGTCCATCTAGAATTGATTGAATCATTGGGATTAATGAAGAGATGTCGTCGTGAGAACTATTATGAGGAAACATCAATCCGAAAAAATGATGTTCCGTGACGAATCATTTATAATAAACACTGCAAAATTCCATAAAACATGAGAATCATCAAATTTGATTTCATGGTGACTTTAAAGCACATAGAATAATTGTTGGTGTGTGGACGGTAATAAAGTTTCCGTTCTTCGTGTGACCGGGCCAATCGAATAAATGTTACAACTACAAGAACACCATTCAGGTGTCGCAAGTGTCATAACCGGCAGTGACTGCTGTACCTCCATGGCCCTGACCCACATGCAGAGGGACTTGGCAGCAGATGAGACCCGTCCGATGATCTCGGGCTGGAAGTCGGGCTGCGTGCAGTACTGTCCGATGGTCTTCAGCACGCGTTCGGAGATGTTGTCCTTATCAAAATTCACCAGTTGCTTAATGAAGTTGGACTCTCCTAAAACAAATGGCTTGTTTTCAGCTTCAAGCAAGCACATATTTCATTTTTTCCCCCCGCAATCTGTTCTGTGGTTATGTGCTTTCTACTGCATTGTGCTGACCTTTTTAAATATATCCTGGCATGCTAATGAATCACCCAACCCTCCCCTCACCCGAGTCTTTCTCTCTCTGTTTGGCTCATGAGATTTCGGTTATACAGTAGTCTGGTATGGATTTTTCATGCCTGAGCCAGCGCCTGAATCCATGTGTGACATCAGTGTGATTGAGTGATTTAATAATGATCTGGAACTCTCTTTTTCTCGTACCCAGTTGTCTCTTGGCCTCTGCCCAAGTTGGTTCACATCCTCTGAGGATCATAACTGCCTGCATGACGGTTTCCACAAGAGCTGGAGGTCTGCCATAAGTCTTGATCTCCGTCATGTCTTTCTTATTCAGCGACTCCAGAGCCTGAAGACAGTCCAACAAGATTACCACAGTTTTTTCATGTGCTGATGAAAACATTATGCATCACATATTCAGTTGCGCTGTAGCTGTATCATGTCATATTGAAAGTAATAGTTGCATGGATGCAGAATGACCTTCATGGCTTCCTCTAGAGCAGGAAGTGCTTCATCTAGGTCTCTCTGAGCGTTCTCAGCCATGGCCTTACACTTGATTTCTTCTGCTTCTATTTTCTCACTGTGAGCACCCACCGCCTACACACACACACAGAGAGAGAGAGAGACACACACACATTAAGAAACACCACAGACAAACCAACAAGGTTATAAATATCCAAAGAACGCACGCTAGCTAACACACAAAGAAAAAACACACAAGCGTGCACATACACAGTACACACTTGTTACCAAACACACACATCAATATGCAACAACAATAAAGAGTAGTGCTGAACAGTATGGCGATATATATCATCAGACAACCGAAACGGTAGAGAATCTGCTGTATGATTTATACAACAGCATATGCAGGAATATTTACAATGTACAATAAACACAATGTACTACAAAGATCATATTTTTGAAAAATAGACATGCTATATGGTTATGCAATGTATATAACAAAATAGCTTTATCACAATATGTACTGTTGCCATAATTCCACACTGAAATTATATAGGAGTCAAAATCTGCAAAGGGGAAATTAAATGTAACAAATCATGTAAAAATGTATTATCTTTTATTGGAAAATTAAACAACATTTCATCAAACTTTGATAATTGCCTTAATCTTTTAAACAACTGAGAATTTAGTAATCAAACTACATTTTATAAAAAGTTTATAACATATTACATCAGCTTATGAGAGTCAAATTGGACAACTACAGGGATTCATCTCAAGATCACTAATTTTACAGTTCATCTATTGGCAAAGTTATGAAAAGAAGATCAGTCAAGAATAGAATATTGAAAATATTCAAATCAGGAATGTGAGAATCACTCATAAATGAAGAACAAATTTATACTCACGTGTGTTCTGTTTTATGCACGTTATCGTCTCTGCCACTCAGGCCGTCATTTTTACTCATTCAAAACATCAGGTAGTGTGTGTGATTCGCTGGACCTCTGCTTCTCGTAAATACTATTTATTTTCTGACAGACATCAATCTTGTGATATTCAAATGATGTGGATTTCACAACAGATGGATTGTAGGGTAATAATTATGTCTTTCTTAGCCAGTAAGTATTGAGTGATTGATGGCCATGAGTGTGTTATATCAGCCAGCCTAGGTTTTGACGGACGTGGTTACATGCGTAAGGGGTGAACTATGTTTGTTTTGAAATATGTTGGTTTTGAGTAATTATAAAATGCGCTGGAGACGTTCAAAATGCTTTTTGCGCAGTTCGTGGTACTTACTTTATGGCTTCAATAAATGACATGTTACTCAGAGACTGACATGTTTGGCTTGTCAAACATATTACATCCAGCTGTCGCAAAATCATTGACTTTAGAAAATCAAGTACATTTTTTTTTTACCAGGAAAAGAGTGGTTTTGATGGTCTCTTATAACATGAAAATGTATATTGTTGTAAATAATAGTGAAAAATCGCTTTTTACAACTGTTGTTCCATTGTTACCACTTACCACTCATATACTGTAATATAAGAGTTTGGTTATACCATTCATCCCTAATAAAGATCCTCAACATTAGACAGACTGACACACACACACCTTCTGCTGTTCATCTGCCTCTCTCTTCTGCTGCACAATGACAACCAGATATTCCTCACACTGTTTCTGGAACTCAGCTACTTTCTTCTTGGCCTCTTCCAACTCTACAGACATGGCCTCCACCTTACTGCGCGTGTCATCGATCTTAAACAAGCCATTCCTCAACTTAGACACCTGCTCTCCGAGCTCACCACGCTTCTCAGACAACAACCTGAGAAAAGAGAGAGTTTTCAGAATAAACACTTTGTTTTAGTTCGAGTAAGAGATTTATAGTTAACAAGCAACAGTAAAATGGAAACAGGAAACTATCATGTCTTTTAAATCCTCATGGCAGCTAAAAAAAATTTTTTAAGAAAAGTGTGTTTGATTCCTACTTCTTATATCCAGAAACCAGCTCCAGGTAGTTGGTGGGTGTGACGTAATTGTGTCTCTTCAGTTCTATTTTCATCCTGTGAGAGAACTGGGCCACAGACTGATGCACGGTCACAAAGATACTGGCAACTTTAGACTGGATCTGTGAAGCCACCAGAGAAATGACAAGTTGTGGCAGCCTCACTTTTAAACAAACATCGCACAAGGTCACAACAGAAGTATGCTAAACCCAAACTAATCCTAAAACAGACAAAAAGAAAACTAGGCTTGAACTCTCTCCAAACAAATGAGCCTCTCAATGGAGAACCTCAAGTCTAAGTGATTTGTAGTTCAAAAACTGTGAGCAAAAAGAAACACGGTCTGTATGACATCCCTCTCAAAGGAAACATAAGATCCTCACAGAGATGAAGGAAGAGAGATTAAAAGACTCATGATGAATCTTAACACTGGAAATTCAATTAACCTATGATTCAATAGCAGCCGCTAAGAGATGAAGTACCTCAAAAAGACTACAAATTAAAGGCCAGGGGTCAGCATCACTGACTTAATTGGACTTATAGTGTATAAAAGAAATATTCTGAGTGAAAATGTATACAACAACTTTAAAGGTACACTCAGTAATCTATCCCTCTTTAAAAAGTTTAACGTTTTTGAAAGAAGTCTCTTATGCTCTTCAAAGCTGCATTTATTTGATCAAAAACATACAAATACAGTCATATTGTGTAATTTTATTACAGTTTAAAATGTTTGTTTTCTAATTGAGTGTATTTTTCAAAATATAATTTATTCCTGCGATCAAAGCTGAATTTCCAGCATCATTACTCCAGTCTTCAGTGTCACATGATCCTTCAGAAATCATTCTAATATGATTATTTGCTGCTCAAGAAACATTTATTATTACTATTATCAATGTTGAAAACAGTTGTGCTGCTTAATATTTTTGTGAAAACCATGATTCAACAGACAAACTACATTTAAAATAGATATTTTTTGTAACAAAGTCTTTACAGTCACTTTTGATCAATTTAATGTATCCTTGCTAAAGAAATGTGTTACATTTCATAATAAAAGTGTGTATTATTAAATAAAATATAATATAACGTATTTATTTATTTCATTGAGGGGGGCACCGAGGTCATTACATGACTAGCCAAATAATACTCACTCTGTAATCCACTTTAATAGATTTTTTAAATATATATATATATTTTCTTTGATTAAGAAAATCTACTCTACACATTTCAACAATGGCATTATCAACTAAAAAAAAAGCTACATCCACACCACTAGGGGTCAGTATAAGTCAAAGATGACGGACAGCACAACAAATACAAAACTACTGAGTGCACTTTCTAAAAAAAATAAAGATAAACATAAAAAGATAAACAAATATTGTACTAGTTCTACACTTTCATTGGATGTCTAGGAGGCAACTGTCGACTGTAAGTACATCTGTTTTTCTTTGTTTTTATAAATTGAGGTACACGTCGAAATCATTTAACGGGGTAGATGTTAACTTATCTAACACGAATATTTCTATATGCAATTTTGTGTTCTGCAAAACACTGACAACATTTGTAAATCCATCGTTTGTTGATGTCTCTCACCCCATCCTCGCTCCCTAGAGAGAGTCCATCCAAACATCTTTCTGCCACTTCCAACAGAGCGTCACGTGGCCATTCAGAGAACCAGTCTATCGTGGTGCAGTTCACCAGTGCCGGGTACTGACGAAGACGGTTCCTAATCAAATAAACACAGAAACAAACAGGCCTTACATACCCATAATCTCTCTATTATGTAGACAGTTCAAGACGAACACTAATATCACCCACCGGTTCAATCATGCTTATTAAAGTCAGACCAGTGCCAGACCAATCAGAGTGAGTGCTTAGATGATTCGGGCTGTCATATTTAACGAGTCAGGGCCCTAAGGGTCACATTACGCACAACCGCCTCCTTCATGTGACGGCAGATGCAAATGAGTGATTAACAGGAACATTTCCCATGCATGTTTCTATAGTGCTGCAAGTGTGACAGGCATAATTGCAAAGCAGGAATGTTCTTGCCAGCCGCCGTCTGGGGGCCAGTGAACAATGCACCGCGTCTACTTATCTCCGTCTCTCATCGAAACTAATATTTACCTGTATTATGGCTCTTCCTTGTTATTTGTGTTGTCATTTTTTATCATTATTGATCGAGCACCCTATAACTATGGTCTGCAGGTAACATGCTTCTGCTCTGGCAATACAAACGCACTGTTGTTAGTCATGCCAATAAAGCCCCTGAAGCTGAAATTGACTGAGACACAGCAAGCTAAAGATGGAAAAGCAAACAGAGAGATAGAGAGGGGAAGCCAGATTTACTATATCATTTATGAAGACACTTGCGAGTTTACGACAGCACACGGTAAAGCGATTGGAGATGGAGGGCAGAGCTTTGTCTTCCTGATGTGTGTGTGAAATGACAGTGGCAGAGAGGTTTACTCCTGTCGGTGTCCTCTAATTTCACCCAGTTGTATCTCTCATCCACTTTGAACTCGCTCACTGAGTCATCTGTTGATTCATAAGCAGCTATACTGTGTGCGTGTCTGTTCGGATAAACCGTATATTGGAGTTCACTGTGAATCAAGCCTTCAGAGAGAGATCTTAAGCCATAAGAAGCCACAGGATGGATCTCAATGTTAGCATGGTAATCAAGGCTGACTCACTATTTGAGCAAGTTAGATTATAAGCAGTAGGCGTGCATGTGTGCTGTATTACAGTCAGCTATATTAAATCCACGCACATGGGATTTTGTGGAGACACTGAATGCTGAAGTGGTGGCGGGTTACAGTCATGTCTTTGCATGTGATGTCTATAGTACGTAACTAGCATAGTATGCATTAGCTTGCCACAGTATGAGGGATAGAGATTGCCTTTCCTTTATGCCTCCATCTACATTTATTTTCATTATTAATATCGTCGCCACATTGCTTAATACAGTTTCATAAATTCATCTTACTGCATAATTAAATGTATTCTTTTTTCAAAATGTATTTATGCTTAGTTCTACACTGCACATTTAATTTAATTGAATAATTTAATTTAACTAGGCAAATGATTAGCTAGTGTTGCTCTTAATAATAATAAATAAATAAATATTATTATTATTATATTTAACTGTTAAAAAACAGAAGCTGGTCACGTTTAATTAAATTAAATCGTTAAATTAAATTCATTCAATAATAATATTTTTTATTATTCAAAATGTTTAATTTAATTCATTTATTATTATTTCAATTCTAAAAATTAAACAAATTAAGAGAACAACAAGAAATATATTACTATTGAAATAATACTATTGTGCTGTAAAATAAAAAAACAAGAAATGAATAATAATATTTTTATATATTTATGCAGCAAATTATTTCTTGGATTTACGCCATTCACGTGGATCATAATGAAAAATCACATAAATGTGACATTAACATTCTACTCTATTTGCAATGTTGTTATTTCACATTATTTTGCCCCATTTCTCATTGCATGCATTGTTTAAAAAAAATTTGTCATGCAAATAAAACACACTAAAACGAAACTGATAGAGTGCACCTGAATGGATCTCCTACAGGGCTCATGCACAGCACAATGTGCAGGTTGTTTCTGACGCGCTCTATCAGGTAGTTAAACATGGCGTCTGGTGTCTCCAGGATATTGTCCTTCCTGGCTGAGTCTGACAGAGCGTTCTGGATCTACACAAACAAAACATGTTGCAAATCTGCTCTCACTGTCACAGACATTATTAAACCCAAGCCTACAGTCACAAGCATTAAAAACGTATATGAACACACACACCTCATCGAGCTCGTCTGCTTTATAGAGATTGGGCACCTCCCCTGAGCTCAGGATGTTGTTAATGTCTTCAAGGAAGGACTCGTCCACGATCTGTGTGTCATTAAACAGGAACACAGTGGGCCTGTTTTCCACTCCTGTCAGCCGATAGAGCTTTTTAATATCTGTATGGGGAGAAGAAATGTGTCAAATATTCCATTAGGGCCACATTAAACTGTGCTGTGAAGGCTACAATGTGCATAACATAATAGATCCTTAGGTCCTGAGCACTGGGGCAAGAGGCATTATTCTTCAGCATTTGATTTACCACAACATGCCACCGGACAAAATATCAACGCCTTTGGTATATATTAAAAGAGCTTTATATCCGAGATCTGAAATTGAAAGAATAACTCAGCCAAATGTCTTACATTAGTTGGTCTTGAAATACAATTGAACATGCCTGAATGTTCAGATAACCCTTTAAAGGACCAGCAAAACAGGTTTAGATGCTGGTTTGCTGGTGTCCCCATCAGGCTACTTAACTAACTTAACCAACAACATTTCCATGGTCAAGTAGCTGTGCCCGGTTGCATAAAGCACCTTAAGTGTAATTTTGCCCTTAAAGTCGCCCTTATGTTTCCCTTAAACCTAAGGGTGTTGCAGAAAAATACCCTTAAGTGTTACTTAACGGTTTTTTTAAGTGAAACGTCATAAACACTTAGAATTTCCCTTAAATGCTGTTTTTTCACTTAGAATTTCCCTTAAATGCTGTTTTTTCACTTAAGTAATCGTTAAGTGTTGCATAAAACCCCTTAACGGTAATTTCCCTAAGTATAACTTAAGGTTTGGAAATCGTAACCTTAAGAGTAACGCGGACAAAAATAAGACGACATGGCTGAATTTATGAAACCAGCTGAAGATCATAGGGAATAGGGAGAACCCTTTGGACCAATTTAGCCATGAAAAATTGTTGCAAGAATACCGATTTGATCGACACGCAATATTTGACATCGCTATCAAACTAGACGGCCGTCTGTCTGTCATTACACGCGACTCGCATGTAAACTATCACAACGTTAAGTCAGTGCGCGCACGGAGAGTGTGTGGCCGACAAAAAATTCACAGGAGAACGAGCTGATTCTGTGTTTTAAAAGGAATCATGACAGAAGAAAACAGGTATGCTATGGAAATATACTCAGCTGTATTTCGAGACACAGAGCCAGAAGTGCATTCACAAAACCTAAACAAATGCCAAAGCATGAGACGGTGAACAACACAAACTGCCGCCACGTTCGGAGCTAACGCGGTGTTGCGTGATAGCGTCACTGGACTGACACGTGATATTCCGACATGTTAGTGTTTTGCGTATCTATGGCAACAACAGACTTTTATAACGTGAATCCAGGATCGCTGTCGTGAAACACTTAAATGTTTCCCTTACCTAAGAGAACCGTTTAAGAGATTATATGCAACACCCTTAAGTTGTTCTCTTAGGTAAGGGTAAATCGCCCCTTAAGTATCATACTTAAGGGAAAAACTTAAGGTGCTTTATGCAACCGGGCACTGGACTGAAAGAAGACATGAACTAGCTCAATTATGAGATGTTTAAAGAGGCTTCTGGTTTTATTGTTTGCTCCTGTAGGTCAACTTGAAGAGTTGTTGGTGCTAAAACACCAATATCCAGAGGTGGACAAAGTACACAACTTCCTTACTTGAGTAAAAGTACAGATACTACTGGTCAAATATTACTCCATTACAAGTAAAAGTTGTAAAGACTGATTTTTACTTAAGTAAAAGTGCAGAAGTACTTGTTTTTAAAAGTACTTGAGTTTCAAAAGTAAATGTCAATGCATTGTTTTATTATTGTTGCATTGTTACAGTACCTTATGCCTCTGAAGCAACCTAGTGAATACACTGACCAGTTTGAAGTATCTGAGGAATTGAGAGCTTTTAGAATGTTACAAAACCTATATATAGGAATTAAACAACTGAATTGACAAAAAAAAAAAAAAAAAAAAAAAAACAGCCATAATCTTAATTTTTTTAACACTCCTACCACCCCCACAAAAGAAGTACACATCTATGTGTATCCATTCATGCACATTTGAATCAAGTGGTCTGTAAATACAAAAAACCCCAGCTACACAACCATAGCTGTATAACTGCCCAACAGCAATACTGCTTTAACAAAGAGTAAAACAGAAATACTTATTTTGCCACGAAAACCAAAATTTCAAACCGTTAGTTGTCATACCGATACTGTCTCTCACAGATCACTAGTAGAAAGAAATCATACTAATCGCTGAACTTCACGACACGTGACCCAACAAGAGTGATTACTGATAGGCTGTCTGTCACCCGCAAAAATCCAATCAAGTTTTAGAGACGAAAAAAATCATCCCCTGACTGATGTTACTAATTTTTTCCTCAAGGACCTTGACAGAAATGTAGAGGAGTAAAAAGTACGATATTTGTCTTTCAAATGTAGTGAAGTTAAAGTAACAAGTTTCCAGAAAAAATAATAGTAAAGTAAACTACAGATTAGGGCTGTGTATCACCAACAATGTCACGATACGATACGTATCACGATACTAAAGCCATGATACGATATGTATCACGATATGGATCAATTTGGAATTTAAATTTCTTTTGAGCTGAGTTTAGTAACAGTAATATCTGCTTATTGAATAACCAGTGTTATAACAGTTGTGATAACTGAAAAACAATGAGTTAAATGAATAAAAAAGCTTAGAATGGCTCTTCTGCTTTTAAAGTCTGCCTCAATAACTGAAATGACAGTTATAGTGACACTGAAGCATGTCTACACTGCTCAATGACTAAACAAAACTTAAAACATTCCATAAAAGCAAAAACGGTAACAACTTAAATTTAACTTAGTTTTCTCAAACTCTTTTAAACACCTAGTATTTAACAGGTCTTAAGTGTTGAAATGTGCACCAAACAAAGTCATTTCTTCTACGTTGAAATCATTTTAAATGATTACATTTTCAATTTTTTTTGCAGAAACAACAATTGATTGACATGCTCAGGGTTAAGAGAGTGACAGCAGAATATCTCGCTTAACTTCATCATGCAACCGGGGAATTGCCGTTTCTGTTAAAAACCTTTATGCTTATTTAAGACATAACCAACTGTGTTTAGAGGATACTTACCAAGAACGAAATTTTTTACATCATTTTGCGTGTTTTAGTCTGTTAAAGCGATATAATCTCGCGAGCTGTATGTGAGGCGGCTTTACTCTAGTCTAGTCTATGTATGCACGCAGAGAAAACCAACTCTCAGAGAGCGCGCAAGTACTGAATAGTTTAAAATCGTTTGAATGTTTAAACTGGTAAGACTTAAAGACATGCAAATGGTAAACTTTAGTCACGATGGCCCGATTATGCAAGTGAATATTCCGTCATGTCCCGACTCCTAACCGTGAGCGTGTAGTTTCACCGGCTGCAGCGCTGGACGCTTGCCCGAGACGAGAGAGAGAGAGACGCAGCACTGCATCGAACTCACGCTGTTTGTGAAATTGCGTCTCACAGAAAGTTTTAAAATGACTGATTTGATTTTATAATCTGTGTGGATTCATTTACTAATACTACAACCTACATGCTAAAGTGAATCAATGTTTCCGGGAATTTCCCGCATTATAAACTGCGGGAATTATTCAAATTATGCGCAATCCCGCGCCGAAATTCGAGCCCTTGGCTACATTCAAAAGCACAAAAGTATCGATACGGCAGCTGCTGTATCGATACGCGTATCGCCAGGAGTTCATGACGATATATCGTTGTATCGATATTCTGAGCACAGCCCTACTACAGATGCTCAAAAAGTGAAAAAAAAAAAAGTAAATGTACTTTGTTACTGTCCACCTCTGCCAATATCATGGTTTGAATTCCTTTCAAATAACAATATTGCGTTACTTCCTAAAAAAATTATGAATTTTGTTAGTTACTTTTTATGGAAAGTAATGCACTACGTTACGTTACTTTTTCTCACCTGGGCTGGGCTAGCTTGTTTGTTTTTAATAAAAAAAATGAAAAAAGTTCTATTTTTGGCAAATGTAAAGACTCCTTCACACCAGAGCGTGAAATGAATAAGCCTCAGGCTGAACGAAATGCAAATTCATGCCTATAGAGTAGAGGGCGCAGCTCAAACAAACCTTTCAGCTGTGCTGCCATTCTGGATTGTAGAAGAATAGAGTTTAACACTCTAACTTCAGCAATAAAAACACAAATGTGATGTTTATCTAGTCATTTTTGCTTATTAGTATGGTTGAACTGGATCATCGAAAGTCAGCAGTCAAGACATCGGTTAAAAAAGTGAGACTTTTTGGTGCGATTAATTGGCACCATTATTGTGAAATTAAGCTTACTCTGTTTATCTTGTTCATCATTCGCTATATCCAGCAAAGTAAACCACCAGATTGAAGGCCGATTCTCACACAACTGTATTTTAATATGCGTTACTTTACTAGTTACTTGAAAACAGTAATCTAATTACATTACTCGTGTTACTTGTAATGCGTTACCCCCAACACTAACCATACGTACACCTTTAATCCACTTTGGATACAATCATCTTCTAAGTGAATACATGTAAATTGTGTGTAGAACTCACCCTCTCTGAACTCTTGTTTGCGGTACTGTTTGGTGACCTCCACCTGGAAGACCGTAAACTTACAGATGTAGGCGGCCAGTCTGGCTAAACTCTGCCTGCCCGAGCCACCGATACCAACCAGCAACATGTTCCCCCGGAGCTGACTGATCACACGCACCAAACGCGTTACTGAGGGGGCAGAGAGAGGGCGCTGTTTCCATCATTACAATCACAACGGTGCATTTACTTGCATGAATCATGTGTCATTTGGTCAATGAAACATTAACAAACACAAATACACACACACACTCACACCCACACCACTCCCGCAGGAGGCCAAACAAACAACCGATCACAAAGGAAACTAATTGGCACAAAACCATAATTAGTTATGAACGTACGCATATAAACATACACGTTATACTTGCTAATTTCGTAATCAATCAGCTACGCACAGCGGCGTGTCATTGAACTGAGTGTTTGTGACGTGTGAGGTGCATTCACGGAGCTGAATGTGAGACCACTTTAATGTCACAGTGGCAGGATGCATATAAAGCATTCTTATATGCGTCTTTGACAGTAAATGCCTGAGTGACATATAGGCTGGGGAACCGGCTGCCTAATTATTCTCCCTGCTGATGCGATGGCGTTCTTCTTTGTGGGAATGAGAAGGGTAATTATTCATGCTCGCGGGGGATCTGAGGGCTGAAGTGCATGTGATTTTGAAGAAAGTTATATATGTGTGAGTACTGAATGAGAACTGTGGAGATTGGCCACTGATTTACGGGGCTCGAAGGCGCACATTGAATCAAGGGAATTGTGATGTGGACGGAACCATATGATGAGAGCTGTATAATAACCGTTCCATGAATATTGTTGACTCCAATAGAACAGAACTAGTGGAATTTGTTTTTCACATCATTCAATGGCACCATAAGTTACTGAGACAGAAGCAAATTTGCACAATGGTGATCGTGGAGTTCCCGTTGTAGGCTCAAACTTGCAATCTTTTGGCCAAGAGATTTAACCACTAATGGCGGGGACACACTTAACGACTAGCTGAAACATTCTAAGACTGAACTGAACACACTTACAGACTGTTTCCAACGACTGCAGCAGATTTTAAACACCGACTGTGAACACCGACTGAACGCGAATTTGGGCATGATCAGTCTTAAAGGAATACTCCACTTTTTTGGAAAATAGGCTCATTTTACAACTCCCCCAGAGTTAAATTGTTGAGTTTTACCGTTTTTGAATCCATTCAGCCGATCTCCGGTTCTGGCGGAACCACTTTTAGCATAGCTTAGCATACATCATTGAAGTTGACAAGACCATTAGCATTTCTCAAAAAAAATGACCAAAGAGTTTCGATATTTTTCCTATTTAAAACTTGACTCTTCTGTAGTTACATCGTGCACTAAGACCGACGGAAAATGTTAAGTTGCGATTTTCTAGGCTGATATGGCTAGGAACTATACTCTCATTCCTGCGTAATAATCAAGAAACTTTACTGCCGTACCATGAGAGCAGCAGGCGTAATGATATGACGCAGCGCCTGAAAATAGTTCCGTTGTGTTGACGGAAGGTGGCCTATTTTCAGGCGCTGCTTCATATCATTACGCCTGCTGCTCTCAAAACTCAGTCAAGTTTTAAATAGGAAAAATATCGAAACTCTTTGGTCATTTTCTTTTGAGAAATGCTAATGGTCTTGTCCACTTCAATGATGTATGCTAAGCTATGCTAAAAGTGGTACCGCCAGAACCGGAGATCGGCTGAATGGATTCAAAAACGGTAAAACTCAACAGTTTAACTCTGGGGGAGTTGTAAAATGTGGCTATTTCCAAAAAAAGTGGAGTATCCCTTTAAGTATCAAATTACATTCATAATGGGCCTAACAGTTGTAACAAGTGTGTCCCCGGCTTAAGCAAAGCTACTCCATTCACCCCGACCATGCTCTCACCGTGCTCTATAGCGTCTCTGAAGAGCACCAGGCTCATGGGCACCACACCAGGCGTCAGGTTATAGTCCTCCAGCTGGTTCTCCATATGAACCTTTAGAGCTTTAAAGTCCAACAGGTCCTCATACACGTGTGGCTCCCTCAGGAAGTCACCTACAATAAAAACACACAAACAAAGTTGATATAGATGTAGATTAAAAACAAATAAATAATTATTATAGATTAATAATATATAAAAACATTATAGATTAATAAAAAAAACTGTAAATAAATACATTTAAGATAAATATGACTATTGGTGAACTTTAGTAATAATTAGAAATCGCTGATTTAATTTCTTTTAAAATGTAAAAGAGCATTTACCGATTGACTTACTTTATTTATTAAAAAGTAGGTGCTTGTGGAAATGTATTAGCCAATTAAGTTAGTCACTGATCAGCTAAATTGACAATTCATCATGTGGAAAACAACAAATTAATTTTCAGATGAAATATATATTTTCAAATATGTCTATTTATTTATATAGATATATATATTTTTTAATGATTTACACTACTATTCAAAAGTTTGAGAGTAGGATCTTGGTGAGCAAAAGACTTCTTTCAAAAGCATCAGAAAAATCTTACTGACCCCAAACTATTAAATGTTAAGTTTATTTAAAAAATCTTTAGGTCATCCAATTAGCAATGTGTGTGTGTGTGTACCAAACAGAGGGGGCTGTTTGTTGGGGCAGATGGTGTGGTAGGGGACATCGAAATGAGAAGCCAGCTTTTCTGACAAAAGTCCCACAAATGTCTCCATGTCTGCATGATCCACTAATCGATCAGAGAAGACCCTGAAACACAAACACTCCATTCTTTTCTCCTTCTAAAAGCTGTATGTGTGTGTGTGTGTGCAAGCCTGTGCCTGTCTGTACCTGAAGCACTCATGAATCCAGAGGCGAGTGATGCTCTGTTTGGTGTCATGGAAGTCTTTGTGTGCTCGCAATAAACCCTGGAACACCTGAATTGGAAGACACATTGAACTTGCACACAAAGCCTTCAGTCTAATTTCTGATTGATTTTTTTTTGTCTGGTCAAGCTTAAAGAAAATAGATGCTTTCAAAAGGTGTTTGTATGAGCATATACGCGTCTCCGATTAAAAGTGATAGTCTTTTTCGGTCAGTCACTCTTTTCCTCAAGCACATCTGAATTGGCAAAATGGACTGACATGTTTTTTTTTCATCGTTCTGGAATCAATTGGTCTGAATCAAAGTGATAGTATACTCAGATACTCATGAGAGACAATGACACGTGACGCATGATGTTCAGTACCTTTGAGATGTCTCTGAGGTTGAAGAGATAATGTATTTTTGCGGGCGTGGGTAAGAAGCGGGTGGTGATGGAGTGGTAGAGCTCCAGGGTGGCCTGAGTCAGAATCCCCCCGATGGGCTTCACCTCCTCCTCAAACTCCTGCAGCTTCTGGCTGATCATGGTGCCATAGATGCGCTTTATCTGAGACTCCTGGGGAGAACAGAAGAGGAGAGGGAATTACAGGGGTGGGAAAAACAAAAAAGTTTGATATATAGAAAAAGAGCAACGGAAAATACATGTAAAAGAGAGCATTTCACTTTTAAGGTTTCGACGTTATTGCATATATCACTGCACTGGTTCAGGGTGGTGGGCAAAATTTTCAGTTAATGACTCAAATTTCAGTCTGTTCTTCACACACAGCTTTCATATGACTTCATAAGATTTGGAATATAGCACAGAAGACATTTGGACTACTTTTATTCTGCTTTTATGATACTTTTGCAGTGCTTTGATGTGCTTTTTGGAGCTTGACAGTCATGATCTCATCTCCTTTTGTGCTCCACAGAACAAAGAATGAACTACATGCGGGTAAATAAATTATGACGCATTTCATTTTTGGGTGAACTATTCCTTCAATATTGCTTAAAAAAAAAAGTATCCCTTTTTTGATATATTAAAAGACACTTTCTGAAATGTTTAATGCCTTTTTGCAGCAAAAAAAGTATATTTTCATAATATAACACAACTGAAAGACACGCATGCCCCTTTTTTTCTTTTCTTTTCCAATAAAACTGTTTGCATAATTCAAAAAGATTGGCATTAAACTGAAATAAAATATTTCCGTTTTTCAATAAAAACTTTAAACAACTTCACTCCTAATATTGTTGGCTCTTTTATGATAAATTGCATGTGTTTTTCCTCATTTCGGAGTGTCTTCAAGCTAGCTTTAAACCGGGGGGAGACAAAAACAATAACCGCTGGCTTAATCCAAAAACACCATTTGTAGATATGCGTTTAGTGCACAGTTTATTGCAGTGCTTGCTAGGCGAGCATTGTATTGAAATTCCTATTACTTTTTTCTTATGCATATTTTTCCCCACAATGGCAATAAAGTTCTTATCTTAAACCACTTAATTCAAAAACCTTTGCAGATTACTTCAGCCTTACATGTGCTATCTCCACTATAAAGTTTGCATATAATATATCACATTGACTTACGTTGTTAGAGTGTTTTCGATATCTAACCAACAGCGATAAGGTCATCATTATATTTTAATACTGAATTGTGATTAGTTTTATCTTGAAATTATTTGCATAATTTTGATTGGTCTATTATTTTTTAGTTATATAAATATTAACATTGCTGTGCCATAGGGGTGGGCGATATGGCAAAAATATCATATCATGATTTTTTTCAGGAAAATCACGATTAACGATTTTATCACGATTCTTTTTCATGTTGGTTTTACTATTTTGCAAGTGACTGAGCATTACAGCCAAACTAATGTCCCTATTTAAAAAAAAAAAGCCTTATAGGTAACAAAAGAAAAAAAGAATGGCAGACATTTAGGCCAAAGTGGCGAAGATAAAAATCTTTATCATTATTTTCTTTGTTATTAAGAATTAGGAACAAAGATACACATTAAGCATACACAACTTAATATACAAATGAAATAAACAGTGCTTTATTTTTTCAGCTACAGTAGGGGTATTTAACAGTAGCATCGAAGAAAGTAATTAGGCTAAATGGACAAATACGAAAATAAAACACAACATAGACTTCACTGTATAAATTATACATTGATTATTATTAAAGCTACTACTAAAGTTCTCAGTCAAGGGCAGTGAGTGATTTCCTCTTTGTGTTTTGTTGTTTTATTAACATTAAAGGGATAGTTCTCCCAAACATTTTAATTGTCATCATTTACTCTCTCAAGTTGTTTTAAACCCGAATAAGTTTCTTTCTTCTGTTGAAAATAAAAGTTATTTGGAAGAATGTGGCTTACCAAACAGTTGCTGTACTCCAGTGACTTCCATAGTACATGTTTTCCTACTATGGAAGTCAATGGGGACCAGCAACTGTTTGGTTAGCCACATTCTTCCAAATAACTTTTATTTTCAACAGAAGAAAGAAATTAATACAGGTTTGGAACAACATTAGAGTGAGTAAATAATGACAGAATTTTTATTTTTGTGTGAACTATCTCTTTAAGGACAAGAGGCAGCTTGTTTACTAACTGGCTACTGTCGCTTTAAGAGCTGCACGCGACGCGTCTAATATACACGCATTTGACAAGCAGATTTTCTCTCTTTTTTTTTCTGTTTGCTTTCACTTTAGACATAACCAACTTTGTTTATGTAAACCTTGTGTGTATTTGACAATATTAGCGCAATAAGACTCGAAAGATAACTTATAACGTAGTAGTCCAGTAAACAGACGCTGTTAGACAGGCTTTTAGTGCCCGTGTGCTTCGGGTGTATGCGCTCAGAAAGCACACGTCAGAACAGCGCATCAGCACGTGAATTACATGTTTAACCAGCAAGGCTTTAAAGCACATGCAAATAATGAACTTCTGTGAACTGCAGTGTCCCGTTCCTCTGCGTTAACATTTGTTGTATGTTGAGACGGAGCTCGGCGCCAGAACTGCAACTGATAAAATGCACGATACTACGATATTTCTTCAAAAGCAGATCGTGGAGACATTTTAATCGTCCACGATCAAAAACCGCGATATCGCACACCCCTACTGTGCCATTACACTACACAGACGATGTCATGTTACATGCTGAGCGCTAATTAGGAAAGCATTGCAGTCATATTTTCATCGATTTCGACGTAGTTTAGAGTCAACCTCTACTCACTGTAGGGAATGTCATGTTGATGAGATTAAAACGGCTCTGCAGGCGTCCTGATATGTGAGTCCTCCCTCCACCAGGGGGCCCCATAGAACCCAGCAGGAAAATGTCCTTTAAGATCACGGCAAAACGAAAGACATGTATTTACATGCACATCTAAAACACACTCCAATGACTTAACTGGTAAAAAAGCCTTACCTTGATATACTTGAGGGTCTGTTTCTGGCGGTCGTACCAGAAGCCGTAGTCGATCCAGAGGCGGAGCAGCTCCAGAGGGGGCTGGGAGCCAAAGTCGTCCATGGCGGGCATGTTGAGATCATCCAGGAAAACCACCATCCTCTTCCCTCCCACTGGAACGTACACACCTTTAATCCTCTTCTCTATCCGAGACTCGATGATCTCCTGCACGTTATTAGAGCTAGTCTGAGAGAGAGATAGAAAAACACTGTTATGAAGACATGAATGCTACAATGTTCTACAATGACTGTTCAAAAAGTATCATGACACTAGATGGGTTTGCAATAGAGCAGGTAGATACCTATAAATACTTAGGGGTCTGGTTAGACTGTTCACTCTCTTTCCAGACCCACATCAATCAGCTTCAAGCTAAAATTAAATCTAGGATTGGCTTCTTATTTCGTAATAAAGCCTCCTTTACTTTCCCAGCCAAACTTGCCTTTGTGAAAATGACTGTTCTTCCAATTATTGATTATGGTGATGTTATTTACAGAATCGCTTCAAATTCTCTCCTTAGGAAATTGGATGTTGTATATCATAGTGTCATCCGTTTTGTCACCAATGCTCCATATAACACTCACCACTGCAACCTTTACAGTTTAATCGGCTGGCCCTCATTACATACCCGGCGTCAAAAACATTGGTATCTTTTTATTTATAAATGCTTACTGTGTAACACCCCACCTTATCTACGATCATTAATTTCCAGAGCAATCCCCTCTATGAACCTTCGTTCAAGCAGGTATATCACCCTGGTGGCTGCTAAAGCTCGTACTTCTTTTGGACGCCTCTCCTTCCAGTTCTCTGCTGCTAATGATTGGAATACACTCCAAAAATCTTTGAAACTTGAATCCATTGTCCCGTTAATCACTTTCAAATTACTGTTAGCAAATTTACTGTCGGACCATTGTACATGCTAACCTGATCTGTGTACTTGCTCTACAGATCTGTATATTAATCTTCTTCTATGTTAATTGAGTACTACTCTGTCTTGTAATTATATGTGTAACTTATGTTTTTGTACCTCGACGCTTTTTTGGCCAGGTCGCCATTGTAAATGAGAAAATGTTCTCAATGTGCTCACCTGGTTAAATAAAGAAAAAAAAAAAAGAAAAAAATGTTAACCTGAAGATGGTAAAATATTCAGTGAGTGCGACTGGCGATTTGGAGATTAGTGAAAAACTCACTATAATAATAACAAATGATGATTGGAGATTGATGATGATGATACCGCCGCTCTCACTGTGTGTTCTGATATTTGCTCGTCAGGTTGGGCCCTTTGAGCAATGACTCAGCTCATAACCGACGTGAGAGTGGACTACAGAAATATCACTACACACACTGATTAACCACACACTCACAGAGCGATCTGAGCATCCTGGAGGAGACGGATTTAAAAGAGCAGTGTGCAGATGTACACCACCGTTCAAAAGTTTGGGGTCTTATATGCTAGGAAATATTCTTAACAAAACTAAAATGACCTACTACTCATTTAGCTCATTATTTTATTCAGCGCAAATTACAGCTCACTTATTACAGGACCAGTTCCCCTGGAGAAACATGGTAATGATAGCTCTTTTCAATATCTCAATATGTGCTAGAGTTTTTCCGCTTGTATTTGACTTCCAAATGCTGTAATGCTTGCATTTATTCTTTAAATAAATAATAAACCTGACAAAAATTGTGAGAAAATTTATGCTTTAAAAACACTGCTGTGACTTTGTTGTAAAAAGTGGTTGGGACAGGAGTGTGTGTGTGTGTGGGTTGGGGATACAAGGCAATATCACAAATGTACAATAACAAATGCATAAAAAAACATTTAGATGTCCAGAAATCAATTTCAATGGCACATTGAGTTTAATCTATTGAAAGAGACCTCATGTTTGATGTGATATTTTCATCCTTACATCTTTACATCAGTGTATATATATATATATATATATATATATATATATTAGAGGTGGGCATAGATTAATTTTTTTAATCTAGATTAATCTAGATTAATATTGAAATTAATCTAGATTAATCTAGATTAAAATGGCTCATTTGAATTCTCCCGAAGGCATTCAGAATATGTGTGCTACCCAAATAATGACTAAAAGTAAGTCTTTGAGAATAGTTTGCCTCGCGTAGGGATGTGCATTTCTGCCAAAAATGCCATTCGACAATCGAGGAGCAAAAGTCGAATATCATAAAAACAAACAAAAAAAAACGCAATGACAGAAAGGGAGGCCAATTTCATCTTTAGGGATTTGTCATCAAACAAACTGTTTATTAATTGAACAAGTAACATGTTTTCGTCCTTTTTTTTAACATAGTAGGCTAATTGGAAGAAGAAGAAAAACAATACGCACGACAGTCCGTTTTTGCATCGCCAATGCTCGTTAGATCAAAAAATAATGTCATCATATGTCATAAGAATTTTATGTGAACCTGCCTTGTTACTGCAATAGCCTCATTTTTAAACAAATTAGTTTCAATCGATGTAAACTATTCGTGTGATTATGCCACTGCGCAATACACGCGCAATACACACACAATGTATTACCTAAATGAAATGAAATCGAATGTATCGTCCTGTGGAATCATTCATTCACAGACAGCTTACGAAGTGGTTCAACTAATAAAGATCTTCATCGCTGGCAAACATATGATGCATTATCAGATTTGCATTCACTAGACTAGACTGTAGATCGGCCACTTCATCCAACGCTCTTGATGCTCTTAAATCTTCCTGTTTCGACTCTGAGTGTGAATTGAAAGCGCTTCAGACGATTCAGTGCGCGAGGAACTGAACAGATCAACTGATTCGCGAACCGATTTAGACAGATCATCTGACAACTTGTTTGATGAAGTCTTTGAACAGAATCGACTCAAAAGAGTGATTCATTTGTAAATGAGCATCGCTCATGCCCATACAAGACACAGCGCGCTTGGAATAAACTCATTTAACAACGTATTGCATTAAAATAAAGTAACGAGAGGAACGTCGCCCAACGTAACAAAGTAAAAGTACACCTTGTGTCCCTGACAGGAAAATCCCCTACTGCGCGATCTGTGACAGTAGGCGCGGCGTCATACTACACATTAGAATTGCGCGAAAATATAACGGTATTTGAAAAAGCTATTTATGATCCCAACCCAACTTTGATTAACGGCGATATTTTTTTTATCGCCCGATAAGAGTCTCACGTTAACGCAGCACGTTAACGCCGATAACGGCCCAGCACTAATATCTATATATATATATATTTTTTTTAATTAAAACCAAAGATGTTCATCAGTGATTGTATATTAAGAGTGGAGACACGTTTGTTTGTTTTTTGTTTTGTGATTTTACCAGAACAAATAGCGAGTCTCCAGAACAGCGTTAAAGCAGTCAACAGAAGTGCTCATCTGTGTGAAGAACAAGAGAACATTGCCTTCCGCCAATGATAACAGCAGCAAACAAAAACTCACTAATTTCTAAAACATCAGATTCCAGCACCAAATCGCCTCTTATTTAACACAAACAAATGAAATGAATACTCTGCTAGTCAACTGCTTCCTTTGTAATAGACACATCCATGCCGCAATATGTTTCAAAAAGTGATAGGGACAATATCAACCCAGGCAAAAAGTGGGGGGACAATATCGGCCAAGGCAAAAAGTGGGGGGGGCAATGTCGGTTCAGGCAAAAATTACTCCTATGTTTAAAAAATACGTCAAGATATACTGTATTCTCTGAAAGCAAGTCTTTTGCAAATTTCCTTTTCAAGTAAAATCTAATCATTTCTTGAAGATGTTTAGAAAGTTGTGGTTTAAAAATAAACATTCTGTTGAGATCAAAGTTTAGTTTACCATATTACTAATACTAAAAGTGATTCTCATCACCTGTGAGGACATGTTGACAGTGAGCATTGCCCATGTGACTGAGTCCAGGCTCTGCAGGACACTCTGGGCCACTGAAGTCTTCCCCGTCCCCACTGGACCCGTCAGGAGCACAGGGTGCTGAGCGGACACCAGAGCCTTGACCAGGTAATGATAGCGTACCGTGTCCACTGTGGGGACCATGATCTTATAGAATGGAGCACTGCAGAGAGACAGATCATAATTAAAAAGACGCCAGCAAGAAAGTTGAAAAGTGGGGCGGCTAAGTATGAGACATGCTTTTAAAAAAGGACAAAAAATGAAGAGAATAGAATACAGAGCGAGAGAGAAACAGCAAAAAGGGGTGGGAGAAAATAGAGTTGAGAGAGCAGAATGAATGACAATAACAAGAAGGAAGAGGAGGTGAAAAGTCCTGATTGAAAGATTGAAAATTGAAAGATGTAGCGAGACATTTCAAATGAATAGAGGGATAAAAAAAAAAAAAGAGTCAGGTAAGAAGAAAAAAGAACCCCAGGATGGAAAAATGGACAGCCGACAAATAGGGAGCAAAGAGAGCCAAGAGGACAAAGGACAATGAAGGGGAAAGAGTTGGACTGACATGACAAATGAGAGCAGGGGAGAGAAGAGAGACGAAGAAGGATGAAAAAGATGAGAAATATGAATAGACAGGGAATTCAGAAGTCTGGGAGGGAGCCAGGCGAGAGGCCTTTGACTGAGCCCGCAGGCGGCTGGCAGAGACCCCCCCCCCCCCCCACCACACACACACACACACACACACACATCTTACTTGGAGGTGTAGCGCCAGCCTTTGGGCAGCTTCTCCTCAAATGACGCCCACGTTTTGTTCTTGGTGTCCACGTAGTATTCGTAGATGGTGTCCTGAGGTTTAATACAACAATTATTTTTTCAGTAATATACTTGTTTCTGTAGGCAGAAAGGCTTAAAAGTTTGTTGTAGACACACAGTGGTTAAGCACTTTCATGTACCATTAGCATGTGCATGCATACACTTACATTGATCCATTTCATACTGTATGTACACTACTGTGCCCCCTCTCCCTCCCCCAAAAAACAATATTTACTCCCGGTTTCACAGACAAGGCTTAAGCCTAATCCCAGACTAAAATGCAGGTTTGATACGTCTCAAGATACACACCAGTTTTTTTATAAGGCGCGTTTATAAAAGCTACTTAAATGTCCTAATTAAACCAAGGCCTAATCCTGATTTAATCTAAGCTTTGTCTGTGAAACCGGGCCTAAGGATGCTTCAGTCACACTTAAAAATGTTACATTAGACAATGAAATCATGTCACATTTATTTATAAGTTAAAACAAGCATTCTTTAATTACAAATAAACAAACAAACAAACAAACAAACAATGAATAGACGGACCAATGGAAGCAAAAGTTGGTAAAGTCATTATTTTGGTATCAATAACATCAATAGCACATAAATTGCACACTTCATCTTTGGCCCTGTCCCAAATGGCACACTTTATATGCACTTACAGTATTGTGGACTTACAATGGCTGCCACATGCGCGTGATTGTGATCCACGAGACTGGAGGGTGTCCCATTTGTCATTTTAGGTTTCGGAAGGGTGCTCGTAAGCGCCCCCTTTGCGGTCGATATGCACGCTCGATGCACACTTTTGCCAAACCCGCACTAAAGCGAGAGAGCCAAAGCGGCGTTACGTCACGAATGTGTGGACTCGTAGGACGACCGTGAGTGTTTAGGGTGCCATTTGGGACAGGGCCCACTGTATACCTTGTTAGGAAAAGTTCCCTCTATTTCCCGTAGGAAGTTGTCAATCTTCTTGCGTCCATCCTCATCTACTGCCGCGCACACAGACCATATGAGACTGAAGATGAACCAGAGCTCCACCATACGACCAAAGTTTTCAGAGTCCGCTGGGTTCACCTGAGCAGCCAGAGAGAACGACAGCCTTGATCAGCTCAACTGAACAAATACCAAGATAAATATGTTTATTAAAGGTAATCATGATTATTTTGTGAAAACACTTGCACGCTATTTAAAAATTTTTTTTATGAGAATTATTATTTAATCACCCTCATGTTGTTCCAAAACTCTATGACAAAAGTTCCATGGAACACAAAGGAGAAATTTTAAAGGGGTCTTATGATGCTATTTTAAAATGTCATTATTTTTAATAGAATAGGTTAACGTGCTTTAATGTTCAAAAAACACATTATTTTTCACATACTGTAGATTATATCAGTACCTCTATTACCAGTCTGTCTGATTTCTACAAAGCCCTCCTTCTGAAAAGCTTAGAGTGCTCTGATTGGCCAGTAGACTCAGTGTGTTGTGATTGGCCAAACGCCTTAAGCGTGTGTCTGAAATGTAACGCCCCTTACCATAATCACGAGCTTCAGCTTCCAAGGCTTTAAAACGGTTTAAAGGGCAGAATGAAATTGCCTAGAAGTGAGACAGCTCTCAGATTTCATCAAAAACATCTTAATTTGTGTTCCGAAGATGAACGAAAGTCTTACGGGGGTTGGAACAACATGAGGGTGAGTAATTACGGACAGAATTTTTTTTTTGTGGGTGAACTATCCCTTTAAGCAATTGTAAACACACCGTAAATAATGTGGTGGGTTCAAACCCGAGTCAGATTCTGAATATGTCAAGCCGATCGTACACATGCACATGATCAAGCCGATCGATCGGAGCCATCTTTGCAGGCACAACTTGAACAGAATGTTTCTCAGTGGTAACACTGGTGGAAGGAACAGCTTTATAAATAAATCTTAACATCTGATTGCTTATTTCATCTGTTTTCAGAAGGCCAAATAAAATGGTTTTGCTTTCGCATCCAAACAGCGTCTCCACGAAATTACAACACTACAGTACACCGGGGAGTCGTCTTCTCTCTTTGTGTATGCCTTTGGGCAGGGAATATGCTGATGTTTCACACTGTGATAGACGTTTGAGGAAGTCATTTCTGGACTTCGACTGAGATGTTTTAGGCAGGTCTGAATCAGTGTATCTCTAGATAGAATAGCTCTCTTTGTATGAGCTTTGTAACTTTGCAGAACATACACATGCACAAACAGATACATTACACTCTAAAGGAAAACGAAAACATTAAAAAACAATATACGACCCCTTTGAATAATATACTGGCTCCATGCAATTACCGTTGGAGTTTTCAAGCTTCAAAAAGGACACAAAAGCCCCATAAAAGTATTATAAGTCTGTTCCTCACATATGGCTTCAGAAGACTTGGAATATAGCATGTGCATGATTGTATTTCATGGTGCTTTTCAGCTTGACAGCCTAGTTTCATTATATAAAAAAACATTTTATGTTTCACAATGAAAGAAAGTCATGTGGTCCATCTACAGTTGCAATATTGGCTATACACATCAATGAGGTGAAAGTGTTCTGACCCCGTTCACTGGAGTGGCCAGTGTGTCGTAGAGTCTACACAGCGACGCCACTCCGTTCAGTTCAGTGATGGTCACCAGCTCCTTACAGTGAGTCTTCTTAAAAGTGAGGGTCTTGTCTATGTAGCGATCAAACAGCTGCCTGAGATGATCCGTTTCAACCTGAGAGCGAAAGAGAGAGAGATGAAGCACTTTCCCAAACGTTTAATATCATAGATACTTGAGCTAAGCATTGTGTCCCAAACCTTCTTCCGTTTTTCCATCCAGGACTGAGCATAAGGCTTCCAGCTCAAATCAGAATAGTCATTGTAAACCATCCCACAGCGAGACACAGTAGCAGGGGACGCCACGGCTAGATCCTCCACTTCAAACAATAATGAGACCTGCAACACACACTCTCATTAATGCTTAAAACCCAACCAAATAAGCACAGAACTGTCACTTAGCTGAAGGGCGAATCTCACAAAACCTGTCAAGAAATGATATTTTCCAAACAGAAAACAAAGTCTATTTTAGGGCCATTAAGTATTTTTACATTGTGATTTTTTTTCTTTCATTATAGTAAAAGAAAGACGATAGATTTTTGGCATTACAGCAATGAGAATTTTGTGAAGAAAAAATGCTTCTCGTAAAAATAATTCCTTTTCTTGATGCAAAATTCACTACTGTTCAAATGTTTGAGCTCGGTAAGATTTATTTATTGTTTTTAAAAGAAATTTCTCTTATGCTCAGCAAGGCTGCATTTATTTGATAAAAAAATATAGTACTATATAGAAATATATTAAAAACAGAAATATTGTGATGACAAAGCTGAATTTTAAGCATCATTACTTATTTTGTTGTGCTGCTTAATATCTTTGTGGAAACTGTGAAACATTTTTGATGAAAACAAAGATGAAAAGAACAGCATTTATTTGAAATAGAAATCTTTTGTAACATTGTAAACGTAAAAGTAATTTCTTTTTAAAAAATCCAAACTTTTGAATGGTAGTGTGTATGTTTTCTTTTTGATTTTGGAATAAAATGTGCTTTGACATTTCTTCATTAGATTTGCCCAATAACTGAAAAAGGGCACAAGTGAAGGAAATAAATAGTTCTATGTACGGTAGTAGCCTTATGGGTTAGTGGGGTGAAACACACAGTATCAGGTCTGGAATCAGACGTGAAATAACCCTGGCTGGGCGGCACTCTGGGTTTCAGTGTGTTTCGGCTATCGTCTGCCGGTACCTGTTCAGGCATGGAGATTCTCTCTCCGTTGATGAGTGTGAGGATTTTGTTGTCGTCCATTACAGAGTTCATGCTCTCGATCCACAGCGTGTCCACAGGCCCGTCAAACACAATCCACTTCTCATCAGGCTTCTCATCTGAGCTCGGCCACACAGAGAGGAAGTGTTAGTGCTTCACACACACACAGAATGAATGTGAATTTCCTAATACACCCTGGATCTCTTTGTCTCTCTATTTTTCATTTTCCAGTACTCTTCTTTTCTCTGTCAGTCTCATTTCCCTACTTTGGTTTCCAGACACCAGAAAGACTTGCAGGCAATTGTGGTGAAGCCTCTAATTGATCATTTATCTTTTCCTGTCCCGTTATCTGCCCATGTGTGTCTCATTTACTGAACTCAAAACAATAAAACACAAGCACAGAGCACGGCTCATCTGTCTTATACACACACATACAAACGCACCCTGTCTGGAAGCAGCAGGCCTGCTGGCTGCCTGGGTAAGCGTATAACACCAGAACTGTCACACACAGCTACAGGAAGTGTCACATCTCCTCTGGGCCATCTTCCTCTCTGAACAGGGAGGAGGGGGCGCACACCACAGATACAAGCCGTATTGAGCCACAGCAAACTGTGATTAGAAATCTTAAGTTCAAAATGTTGGGAATTGCCATCTTTGTGGGGCAATGTGGGGTCCCCCACCCACACACAAACACATCAACTTAAAGCGTAAGTCCAACCAAAATTTTAAATTCTGTCATAATTTACTCTTACATTTATTCACTTTTTTCCAAACCCATAAGACTAGTGTTAATCTTCAAAACACGAAGCATAAAAAAGTTCTTAAAGAAATCCATGAATCGAGTGGTTTGATGACAGTTATTGATAACAGAATTTAGATTTTTGGGTAACCTATACCTTTAAAAGGATAGTCTGCCCAAAAATGACACTCACCCTCATGTCATGTCTTTCTTTCTTCTGTGGAATTTAAAAGAAGAATGTATGGGGTTACCAACATTCTTCAAAATATCTTCTTTTGGTTTCTAAGAAGAAATACATACCGGTTTGGAACAACATGAGGGTGAGCAAATCATGACAGAATTGTCATTTCTGGGTGAACTATCCCGTTACGACAAGTTCAAGACCCCTGACACCGGCCCCTGGATTAGACAAAAGAAACTGAAGGAGCCACTTAAAACAGAGAAAACACCATGGGCTGCGAAAAGTGAGATAATTATTGATTAACAACTGGCAGGAGAATGGTGGTGCTCCATTGAGAGTCGTCTTTTTGGTCAAAATGGCCACAGAGTTTAAGAACTGATAGGACACTCCTGTCTGTGAGATGGAAAGAGTTTAGGATATACAGCATGAGGGCTCCAGACAAAACGGCTCTACAGATTAGGTTAAAAGCGAGGCACAAACGAAAGGAAAATTTAATTGCAGGGGAAACAGGAGAAAAAGAAAGTTCTAAGCAAAATGAAATAAACAAACAGCCTGAGGTGTTCGAATCAGCAATTCAGATCAGAATCCATTAGATCTCCGCATTACTGCACAAGAGCTCCAAGACAAAACGACCACATTAAAAAGCAAACGCACTAGAGCTAAATATACTAATTCCTGTCTGCTCTCCAAAAGCTATTCAATGTGGCTCTAGAAGGGGGAATGAGTTTAACCGTAATAATGACTGAAGCATTTGTATGGGAAGCTGTTTCGTAGTAATCAATACCAGACTCTTAGAATTACTCAAAGCACACAATCTCTCGGGTAGAAGTAAAATGGACTTTTTAATAACAAGATTACAGCACATCTGATTATACTCCTGTACTTACATTTATTGAAATTATATCGCACAAAAAATGTGCAAGATTTTTGCCTGAAACTTTATAAAAGCCTTTCGTTCTATCTGCTATTTGACATCAAAAACACTTTGACATCATAACCCGACTCTCTGGAATATGATAGATCGCAGCAGTCAAATATTTTTGTATAATGGCTGCTAAACTGCATTGACCGCATCGTGCAAACCGATTTCCAACATAACTGCATCTCTCAAATCACTCTCTGGCCTCTTTCAGAATCAATGATTAAACTCAAACCTATATTGCATGTCCATTTATTAGTAGCCATTTAATAAGAATTGTAATGAACAGTCAGAAGGTCATTAATAGAAAATAGACTCCTTTGGGGTAATACCAGATCTGGCCACCTGGACAGACACAGGTTTATTTCCCAATAATGTCCAGTCCAGATGAATGCACATTATCTTATAAATTTGATTTTAAGTGTTAAAAACACATTCAATTATTGTACACAGAAAGCATGAGCTAAATTAAATTATAGTAATACAAATATAGCTATTGAAAATCTCTCCCACTCTCCTAGTAGCACAGAGTTATTGGATAAGCCCAGTATTTTCCAACCAGTTCAAACCACATCTGTAGTTTCTGATCTCACTCAGTGTGACTCAGAAATGCCTAATCTACACACACGACCTGGTTCTGATTCTGAATTACAGCAAAAGTACAGTCCTGACAGACCTGGACCATTTACCCTGGCAGTAAATCTAAAATTAAAAACTAGAATATTGACCTCTAGGTTCATACGTGGATGACAAACATGTTCATATCCAATTATATCACACATTCATCAAAGTACAATTAAGCCTGAAACTCAGGTCCACAGGCAACATCAACCCTGAAGTGACCCACTGTGTCATAAAAATGCAATGTCCTGTAGAGATTTCAATTAAAATTAGGCTGAAAATATTACAAGCAGTAATTGAGGCCATTGCTTTTTATGGCAGCGAGGTGTGTGGTCCACTAACAAACCAAGAACTCGCCAAATGGGAAAAACACCCAACTGAGACCTCGCCTGTTGTATTCTGTAAAAAAAAAAAGTACATGGAACTCCAGGAATAATGCATGCAGGGTATAATTAGGCCAATATCCATTAACCATGAGGACACAAAACAGGCCATTAAATTCTGGAACCATTTACAACTTAGTGGTTTCTGAACATACCATTATAAAATCCTGTGAATTCAAGAGTTGAGCAGAGAAAACAAAACAAGCCCCTCACTACAGACTGAGGTTCAAGAACAGAATCATTCATTAGACTAAACGACACTGAAATGCAGATGAAAGTTAAACGCATTAGGAAAAGTCAAATGTAATGTTATCTGGCCAAGAAAATGGGAATCATCTTGACTTGGACTATACTCAGCAAACAATCCGGCGACAGAAAGTAGTAGGTGGAAAAAAGGCAAAATAAACAAAGAGCTAAATAAATTGTTGTTCTTATGAAGCAGACCAAACAAAATTGAGTTGTATTTCACTATGACTCAATGAAAACTGCAAACTTACCACAAAACACTGTTCACTTTAAAACCAAATTTTTTATCTTCTCTTAAAGGGCCACTTAACATTTTCTTTTTTATTCTGTCATCATTTAGTCACCCTCAAATCATTCCTGAATGTTAGTATTGAAACGGTTTTGATTACCATTGGCTTCCACTGTATGAGAAAAAAGGTATCTTTTGATAACACAGAAGAACGAAAGCCATTCAGGTTAGATGCAAAATGAGGGTGAATAAATGATGACAGAATAATGTTTAATAAAAAAAAAATGTCTGCAAAAACTCTTTGTTTTCTAATTGTTTTACATGAGCAATAAGGAACTCAAGGCTGTGCTGTATTATATTTCACAAGCATGGTCTGTTGCACCTAGTGCTTAATTAATATTTTTCTCCTTTTATTTAGCATTTAGCATTTTCTCTTTTTAATACTCACTGACTCATTCTCTTTGGCAAATGCACCATTACTTGTCATGCCAATGAAGCCCATTGAAACATTAAAAGAGAAACAGAGGGCTGCAGAAGTCCAGAGAGAAACACAAGCACCCGGGGGCCGTTTCAAAGGAGCAGTACACACACACACACGTCTGGTCCACTATCTTTGTGGGGACTCTCCATATACGTAATGGTTTTTATACTGTACAAACTGTATATTCTGTCAATTTCCTGTTTTACTATTCTTGTGGGGACATTTGGTCCTCACAATGTAATAAAAACAAGAGCACACACACACACACACACACACACACACACACACACACACACACACACACACACACACACACACACACACACACACACACACACACACACACACACACACACACACACACACACTAACCATCAGAAACCCACTGTATGTAACACTTAAAAACACAAAAATTTCATTCACACTGTTATTTCATTTCAATTCTGTAAAATGATTTCTAACATAGCCTAATAAAACTCTGAGAAGAACATATTGAAGTTTAAACAATCTATTTTACAGAGAAGACTTCGGTCTTAAGCTGCAGGCCTCTAAATTTGCCTTTTCAAGGATTTTCAAGTGCTTCAATGAGGTGTGAGATTCTTAAAAACTGTTTAAAAAAAAAAAAAAAAATCATTATCCATCTCAGCGCTCGGGTCTCTAGGAGTTAAACTCTTGCAGACCTGCTCTGTAATACTACACATATAGAGACTTATGAGAGAAACTGAGAAAATCCAAGCAGGCATTCTGAGCAGATTCTTTGTCAGCCATTCTTTGTTTTCTACTATTGTCATTGCTCTACAACAATAAGCTGCAAATGCTTTGTCAATACAAATGCAGCTATTTGTCATGCCAATAAATCAAATTAAACTGCAAGTGAAAAACTCAAGAAAGAGAGAGAAAGATGGAAAGAGAGGGGATTTGAGCTGTATGTTGGTCAAGTTCAGAAGAGCCAGAGAACATCAAAAAGAGCGAGAGATCAGATCAGTGTGACGGCAGCTACAATTCATAAAACACTGAGATCACTGCAATAAAGATATAATTCATTAAAATAATAAAAATAAATGAGACACAATAGCCAGACATAACCTTGCATGTGTACAATAATTAAGAAATATAACTTCATTTTGGATTGTACACAGAACGAAAGTACAAAAACTGACGGAAAAAACACGCCACCAATCCCTGCTGCTTTAGCAGGGTGTATAGCGATCAAAGAGAAAGGCTGGAAAAAAAACAAGCGTAGTGATTTCCTGTGATACTCTAGAGACTGGCACAGAGACAGACAGAGTTTATGGGCAGAGACCAGGCTGGACGGGATGGTGAATAAAAGAAAGAAAGAAAACTAATCAGCAAACTTTTCACTCGTTCTTTGCTTGCTTCTTTCTTTCTCTCTTGTGTTTGTTCTTGTCACATCAGGATTCATTTCCTCTGTCAGTGCTTCAGCTGACGTCGCAGAGCGCCTGCTATCAGCAACATGCGAAACTTCTTGATGAGCACAAGCTTTAAAGTCAACATGAAACGGCATTCACAACACCTCTTACTCTTACTTCCGAAACGTGCCACTCAAAAACACATTACAGTAAAGATATGTCAATCTGGAACAACAGATGTATAACTGTGAACAGAAAATCTTTGTTTATTGATGAGTGGTGGCAGAAAGGCATATGGTCACTAACACATGTAATGGACAATGCTGGAAATGTACTGAATCATGTTGCTTTTTGTGGTAAATACAATTTAAGCTGCTCCTCTAAAATATATGAAAAAATTATTAAGAATATTCCATTACCAATGTTTAAATTAGTAAGTGAACATTTGAAATATTCAATGATAATACCTAAACTACAAGAACTTATTATTGGAAATGTAAGCTTTGTTGACAGAAATTGTTCTAACAAATTCTTAAGAGTCTGTTTAATACATCAATGTTTCCAAGGACCGGTAATGAGAAATTATATTTTTTCGTCATTATAAGAAGAAAGAAGTGTGTAAAATTAGGACTAATTTTCTTTCATTTCCTGTTAATCCTAAATGTAAAGAGGTGCACTTTAAAATTCTGAATCATATATATCCAACAAAATAATTTTTAAGAGTAAGATTTAATGTTGGGGACTCAAATTTATGTCAAATATGCAAGGTAGAGATAGAAACGGTTGAACACTTGTTTTTTCAGTGCATTTTGGTAAACAAATTCTGGAATTATGCATTGAGCTGGTTGCAACAAAGAATACCTGTAAGGCTGATACTGTCGTGGGAATTTGTTAAGTTTGGACAAGTAATTGAGGATAAAAAGGTATCTTTTGTAACTAATAACTTGTTGCTGCTGTTGAAATTTTATATACATAAATGTAAATTTTTCACGGTTATTGGTTTTTAAGGAGGAATTTAGTATATATTTGGAGACAGTGAAAAGGATGAAAAGCCCTAATGCAGTGTATTTGTACTCCTTATTGGAAGATTTTGGTTTTATAATTTGAAAAACTTCCTACTCCCCTACTTTATTTATTTTTTTGTTTGTTTATTTGTATTATTATTTTGTTATTTTACCTTGTCTTTAATTTACTTAGCCTACTGATGAGAATGATATGTATATTGTGTTGTAATATTTGTATGTAAGCTCAGGTTTGTTTGTAAGATTAATCTATGAATGTCCTTTTGTTATTGTTATACAAAAATGTCACAAAAAAAAACATTACAGTAAAGAATAAAAAATAAAGAATCCATTTTATCCATCAAGAAGTGGGCATTTTACATAAAACCGATGACAAATCTAAACGAGAGATCTTTTTTAAATCTATTGTTATTAGCAATCATTGCTGTATTCTTTGTCAACCAGCAATAAACTAGTTAACTAGAATTAGAAACAGTGTTTCTTCTATTTTTGAGTCTTATGTTCCTCCACAGCATCATCAGTAGGACCACACCAAAAATGTGTTATTTGAAACTTTAATTATACTGGAAATCAATCAGCATTATATCATTAAAGCGTCCATCATTAAAATGAAACTCCATGCTAAAAGCAAATCGATACTATGGGTGCAAAACAGACTCACCAAGTAGCTTCCTCTCCCTTTAATGAGACACCTGAGCTTGTTTTTCTTTAGCAAGTTATGACAGTTCTAGGGGGAAATGTATTTGACGTTGTATTGATGTGAAGAAGAGAGAAGTGCGAGAGCGACGATTAAAGAGCACTGCTGCAGAACTGTTCCACAGACTGCTGTCTTTATATGCACACACTGTATGAGTACGATCCAAACAAGTGTATGAATCCAAAAGGTACCTTCTCTATCTTTAAACTCAAGTTAAGCTGACATTTACACAGCTTACACAGGGTACACCACGCACTGAAATGCGTGTTAATGCTTTAAAGGTGCTGTATGTCACTTTTTCACTCTACTAAAGCATAAAAATACCAAAATATGTTTGCATATATTGAGGAAACATGCTAAGTTCACATACTCGTTTCTCTGAAAAACACTTCTACAGCCAGTTATTTTACTTTGAAATGTGCGTTTCCAGGCTGGTATGTTTGTTTTTGTTTTGGTCTGGGATACTGCACGTTGCCAATTTGCCAATTTTCATTGTCCATTGCGCTCGTTCCTGTTGCGTGTGCTCAGACTGGACGGCGCTCACACGGGTTGCCAGTCTGAGGAGCAGGTGGCGGGAGAAACGGCTGCAGTACCTATTCCGACCACTAGTTGTCATTCTTACATACTGCACCTTTAAAGAAAACAAAGACAAGACAAGACAAAATGTACCTGCACAGGCCGCCCTCATGAGTGAGGAAAGGACGCCATCCGTCCACTCATTGCTGGAGAGGTTGTATTCTCCGTACAACTCTCCCAGGCTCACTGCCTTGGGGTTCAGGGGACACTCCTAAAGGGGCATCAGCAAAGGTAAAAGGTCAGAGTTTAAAGTAGAAGGGAATTATTCAACTACAGGATAGGAAGCAAACATACAGCGGTGAGAGAATGACACACGGGAGACTCAAGGGTGGGTGTGTGTATTATACGGAGTGGTGGTAATGAGGAAACAGGGTGAAGTGATGTTTGCATGGAGAGATAGAGATAGGCACCAGAAATAGATATGCAAAGAGGGAGGGGTGTTGAGTCAGATATGAAAGAGGAGACAGGCATCGAGAGATGGAGAGACAGAAAGAAGGAGGGAGAGAGAAAGGGAGGATGCAAATAGAAATGGCAGCTTGAGTCACAGACAGAGCGGGGAACAAGATGGACCCCCAAACTGTAAAGAATTACACACACTAGGCAGAGAGTACCTAGAGATGTAAACCAACAGAGATTTAGAATCATATGCTAACACCAGGACGCCAAACCCACAGACACTCAGTCACCACAGGTACCCAAACCCACAGAGAATTAGACAGTGACAAGGACAGGGGCGAAAGCACTGGAGGGAGAGAGCGGGAGAGAATTAGGCTATGTTCAGAATGGAACACTACCTCACACTTACTGATACTGTGCTGTATACACTGTACACTGACTTCTATTTTTTAGTTTATAGAATAATTGGAATTCTATAGTTCTTACTGCATAGCATACTTACAAAAAATAAGATTATATAAATATATATTTTAAGAAGATATATATATATATATACATATATACTTGAAGAAATATACTTATATCTTTAATATATATATATAATAGAGGTGTAACAATACCCTCATGTCACGATTTGATACATATCATGATACTAAACTCACGATATGATATTATTGCGATACTCCAAGACATATGGTTAAAGGTAAACAGAAAATATACTGTTGATTAAAATGCTAAATTTGATATTACATTGTGTGTGTAAATGAATAGGCTTGCACTTGTAACCCAATGCACAGGACAATAGTGACACCAGAATAAAAATATTCATGATTCTGAAGCTGAAAATACTGAATTATTTTAGACGAATATGCTTACACTCTAGTCACTGACTAGATATATTTAAATAATGTAGGCTTTTTACTGGTAACATAAAACATTTGGCATTATCAGGACCCACAATTCCCCCTTTGCATTATTATACATTATATTCAACATTATATAATAGTAGTTTATTGTAGTACTGACACTAAAACTCTGAAAACTTTTTTTTTCACGCACAGTAATTTTCATTTTGGGTGAACTAAACACAATAAATATTGTCACTATCCACGATACATATTGTTATATTTTTGTATTGCGATATATTGTGACACAACATATAGTTACACCCCTAATTTATAATGTTAAACGTTTCCACAAAGATATTAGGCAGCACAGCTGTTTTCAACTGCGATAAGACGAAATGTTAAACAATGTATTCACTCAGTGTCTTTTTTTTTATTTTATTTTTTATTTCTTCTATTTATTTTTATGTGTTTAATCTAATTTTGTAATTGGTAATGTGCTATTCTCAACGCAACCAAATATTCCAAAACTAACAGCATGCTACATGTTGTCACTTGACCTCATTATGTTAAATGTTTAATTTAGCAAGTACCTGGTCCCTCATTTCTCGTTCCAGCAGTTCCAACGCTAATTAAACCCACCTGAATAAACTAATCAGGTTCTTTAGTTTTACTTGAAAATTGCAGCCAGGTGTGTTGGAGCATGGTTGGAACTAAACTCTGTAAGATTAGTATACTATTCATAACATGTTATAGGGTGCAGTACAAAAGGGGGCAAATTTGGATAACATCTATACAGAAAAACAAGATTTTGAGAATATCAACAAAGCATAAAAACAATCTTTCAGACCTCACCTGCATCTCTCGCTCGTACACACACACACACACACTCCAGGAACATCATTAAAGAAGAAAAACCTGAGAAACACATATTTCCCCCAACCCCACTCTTCTATTTTTACCCGCACCGGGATGGAGAGACGTGAAAGGGGTTACAAAGAATCAAGAAGACGGGGAAAAACAACAGAAGCGAAAACAAAAAAGATCAGAACAAACATGAACGCTAAACACACGGTTTTAGACATGAGGAGTCTCAGCCGATGACTGCGTTAAAAGCACAGCGTGGAGTGGCTGGTTGGTTTGGTGGAGTGAGCCAAACCAACTGTGAAAAGAAAGAGATCATAAGCGGCGACAATTAGCGCTAGCTGCCGTCTTGACTACGCCATGATTGTCAAAACACCCACGAGTGAGCCGTGAGTCTGTCAGGGGGGCTTTTAATGAGTGTTAAGTCCTTGTTGCCACATGTTCTCTAAACAGCGAAGAGTGTTTAAGGGAAACTCTGTTGTCTTGGTGGTAAATGCTTAGCGCGGCCGCTGACGGCGGTTCATTTTCATGGTAATGAGGGATGGAAGGTTGGCGTAGCCTCTTAGGCTCTAACACAGCTGCTGCGAAGACATTTGTTTTAGAGGCATGATCTTTGCCCTTAAAACTAGTCATGTATGGAGACAACTCATTTCGATAAAGCTAACGGGGCCCCTTTGTTATTGAGGAACCTTGCATTGACCTGTTGCACTTTAGACCACATAAAAAGCAACACAGCTAGCTATTGATCCAGAGAAAGTTGAGAGATGAGGTTTAGATAGAAGCCTCACACGTATGAGGTTGAACTCGGGTACTCCGTTGCGGTGCATGGTGCTGAGGGCGTTCTGAAGGATCCTCCACGTGACCGTCTTGCCGCTGCCAGTCTTCCCCACTATCATCGTGGAGTGTCGGGAGTTTTTGGTCTCGTACAGTTGAATTACCTTGGTCACGGTGAAGGGGGTCACCTGGAGACCGCTCAGACGAATCTCTGCCTCTATAGCCTCTTTCAGCTAGTGATAAAGAGAAAGAAAACGTGTGTAAGACGGAGTAACGTCGAAATTCTGATAACCAAATATGTGCTAATTGCTTCATAACATTGCATAAACTCTTTCCATGATGGAAAAACATCCCTTCGGTGGAGGTGAATCTCACTGAAGCACTAAAGACAAATGAACTGGCAAGAGGTGGGCGGCCATCTTAATAAAAACACCTGCTGATACTGCACCCCTGAGTGAAGTCGCACCAACCAGAACTGCTCCAGAGGCACTAAAGCAGCCATGCTAAACTCTCGGGTTAATTTAATCTCCCTCTCGAAGTTCTCTCTCGACTCGTTAAACAGATGGAGAGGAGGAATAAAGGGAACGGCTCTGAGGCGCTTGTGCTGAAGTAAGGTGGAGATGAGGATGCAGGATGGGTAATATAACAGCAATAAAACACTATGATGTGCATGAGTGGAAGCAGAGAAGGAGAAATATAGTACTTTCTGTCTATGTGTGTGTGTCTGTGCATTTGATTGTGGAAGGAGCAGGAAGCAGCTGTGCAGACGTTCTGAGGTATCTGCCTTATATCTCCAAACCTGAGTCGCAAACTCCATAAAACTCTTTCTCAGAAAGAGCATTAGTCTGTATTCAGCAGAACAGGTTTAAACACTCATTTGGCATGTTTTATATAGTTAAATGTGTATTTAGACAAAGCATTAGTCAAAACAACAGAAGGCGGTTTATTAAGCCAGGTTTTGAAGTGCTTGAAGATGGTTCTCAAACATTTTGAGAATCAAATATAGCAAATTATGTTTTAGCTTTGCATTCTCTATTTAAATAATAATTTGTATACCTACTGTACACAGTTTGTACTAAAATAAAGATCCCTGAGTTGACCAGAGATTTGACATTTTAAAGATATTAAAAGTGTTTTCTCTTTTCCAGTCTAAACTCTGCTGGGGGGGGGGGGGGGGGGGGGGGGGGGCCTCTTAAAACAGCCAGAACTGATCTTTAGCTGGTCTAGTTGGACTCGCAGTCTAGCCAAGCTAGTGTTTAGCTGGTTTAGTTTAGTGGCCAGCGCTGGTTTCTCAGCCTAACCAGCTGAAAATGTTCAAAATCCTTCTAAAAGCTCTCTTAAACAGTAGTTCTCAAACAGGGGGCACCAAAGAAGTCATTCAATTATTTAAATGCATTTATATTAAAGGGATAGTTCACCCAAAAAAGAAAATTATGTCATCATTTACTCACCCTTAAGTTTTCCAAAACTGTATGAGTTTTTCTCTTCTGTTGAACACAAAAGATGATATTTTGAAGAATTCTACAGTTGATGGACCCCATTGACTTCCATTGAATGTAAAAAAAATACTAGGGTAGTCAATTGCTACAGTCAACTGTACTCTTCAAATATCATCTTTTGTATTCAACAGAAGAAATAAATTCATAATACCCCACAAAAAAACAAAAACCACTAAAAAATAAAGATGTACATGGAGCCATGGAGTCAAAAAGGTTGAGAAACATTGCTCTAAAACCAGCCAAGAGACCAGGCTGACCAGGATGGGAGACCAGCTGAGACCAATAAACCAGCCTAGGCTGGTTAAGATATTTTCTCAGCAGGGAAGTGCAGAGACAACTAGAAGTAAGTCATTTCTAGATGGATGTCCTGAGTTAGAGTTATTGGCGCTGACATTACACTCTACACACTTCAAGGGCACAAAGTTAAACTGGGATATCTGTAACTCTCCAGCCCACAGATTAGACTGTCTTGGCTTTAAAACAGCAACCTTTTGGGTGCTTGTCAGAATATTTATCCACTAAGCTCCCACTAACACCTTTGCATTGGCCTTTATCTGTATTAAAGAAGTGGACTGTATGAATTGTGTACAGACAGGGCAGGAAAATATCTGCAGGCTTTAATGGATCTTTTGAAAGGCGTTTCAGTGAGAGAGAGCCTGTGTGAGAGCTGTTCACTGAAAAATAGGATGGGTGTAATCAAAAACACACAAAAAGATATGCTTTTAAGAGCTGTGAGTCAGAGCACACATTCATACACAAATAGACACAGACTTTCAGTTGCTTTATGAGGCCAGATGAACGCTACGGGACAGGTTACCTTTCCGTAGTCGATAGTGGGCGTTTCCACGGCAGGGAAAAGATCCTGGATGATCCCGTTAAACAATGGCAGATCGATGGAGGTAAGTTTAGCAATGTTCATGTCCTTCATAGACATCAGCAGGATCTGAGGTCAAAGGGTATGAGGGAAAAAAAAATGATGTTAAATTAGCTCAGTGCAGGAATACATCTTCAAAGCTAAGGTAGGCCAGCTTCACTTGACCAAATGTCAACCTTAATTTATGAGCAGGAGACCGCAAAACTGGTCTCAGATACATCTGAAAACTGCCCTTCCTGCTCTTCTGTAATCAAAAGCAGTAGCCATACTGCTTCCGAATGACATTTATTTTAACAAGCATACCTTTTACACATATGTGAACCTTTAAATAAACATGGGGCACCTTTTCCATGGGTGATGATATTGAAGTAAAGAGAAAAAGACGTGGCGAGAGATGAGCACTCGTGTGGGGCTTATGAGTCCTTTTCGACTTCTCTTTTAAGGTTTTGTCCCCTTTGATAAATTTTTTATCACATCCAGAGAGGAGCACGCTTTTGTGACATGTCTCTCTCAGCATTAGCACTTCACACACACAAACACACTGATAGTTCAGTGCACATACACACAAAAACTGTCTGTTTCACTGAACGTGCACTGAGGTGTATTCAGGTGAAGCAGGACTCTGGTTTCTGGATTTATTGGATGCTGCATATATTTGTGTGCCTCACCTCTTCATCGACAATGTCAGGACAAGCTCTACGCTTCTTTCCAGCATAGCGAAGCAGAGAGGTGAGAGCTCGCAGACCGAAGTCATAGTGATCCTGTTTAGACAACTGCTGCACTGCCAGAGAATACAGAGTGAAGACCTTCTTAGCCAAAACCTGAGAGAGAGACAATAAGAGACAGAGACTAAGTCTAACAATGCTTTTTTTTTTTTTAAATGACAAAATACAATGATAATGTGATGAGAACACAATTAGCATGAGACTGCATTCACAACCCATTAATATTCTTGAGTGAAACTGGAAAAATGGGGGAGAACAATTTAGGCCAAGAGCTGATTTTGTCTGTTGGGAATTGTTTGGATCGTGAAAAGTTCACATATGAATTTTCTAAAATAAGTCCAGGAGCATTTGGTAAGAAAATAATAGTGTCTACAGTTCCAGTTGACATTAACATTATAGAAATCTCTTAAGAAAATGGATCATGTGACCTTGAACACCCACAGCTAACAGTAACCATGCGAAGAGGTATAGTAATCTGACAGTAATACAGTAATATATCAGACGGGCAGATAAAGAAAGAGCATGAGCGGGAGTGAGAGGGGTGTAAATGAACAAATTCAACAACCTTTATTGCATCATTTTTTCATCTATGAAGGAATGGAGACCAAGAAATCAAAATCAAAGTCAGTAAGATGAACAACCTCGAAGAAAACACAATGATTCAAAAGAGGTTTCCATTCAAAAAGGTTTTGTCGAATTTGCAAAAATGTATTGTGTTTGGAGAGCTTAAGTAAAAAGTGTGTTACAAACCAATCAGTAATGTTTTGCATTGTATGCCACTGTTTTACTAGCCTGGCTCCGCCCTCCTACGTACTTCCGCTCATTTTCCTTTTCCTTCAGTACTACGTCTGGGATTGTGCTGTATTCTTTCGTTTTCTCTGGTCAATTTTTTACTGGGCCAATCAGCGAACAGAGGGTGTGGCTGAGAACGATGACGTTGATGTCGTGCGCTAGTTTGAGTCGTCATACGTCACGACCAAACGTCAGCGATTGGTTATGGCAGATCCAGAGTGGCTCTGGGCATGCCCAATAGTTTTAGACTTCAACAGAGTACCCGCCTTCAAGGAAGTTAGCGCTTGTCAATGGAGCGATGCCAGACTCTCCGTACAAATGAAATGTACGAGAGTCTGGTGGGACCAGGCTACTGTTTTACAGCAGGGTTTCCTAAACTGGGCTTCGCAAACCCCTGGGGGCTTGTGAGGGAACTGCAGCGGGTTCCTGAGTTTATGAAAATCTAATAATTAATTAAAGGGATTGTTCAGCCAAAAGTAAAAATTCTGTCATTAATTACTCAACCTCATGTCGTTCCAAACCCGTAAGACTTCGTTCATCTTCGAAACACAAATGAAGCTCTTTTTGATGAAATCTCAGAGCTTTCTGTCCCTCCATTAACAGCTACGCAACTGACACTTTAATGCTTCAAAAAGTTCATAAAGAGAAGATCATAACAAATCTATATGAAATGAGCTGTTAGTCCAAAATTTCGAAAAAGACACGATTGCTGTATACGATCAACATATTTAATTTAGGCTGTAAAATTAGACAAAGGAGCTTCAATACACATGCTTAATGCCCATTAGCAATAATTCACCAATGTAAATTCAACATGAATAAACTATAAGCAGTCTGAAGGTAAGATGTAATTAATGAAATATTATTGGAAAGAAAACAATTAAAAGCACTATTGTTTTAAAATGAAAAATAATGACAGATGAACACAATGGGTGCTATTTATGTGTGTGATTAAGAGCGACAGAATGCAAAAAAGGTTGAAGCATACGAGTGAGCGTATGTGTGTTTCCATGAATACCGTGAATATGTAACAGAAGGCAGAAGTCAGTGTGTGTGTGTGAGGGTTACCATGTCAGCTCCGTTTCCACACTGCCTGCTAACAGTCTTACTTATACCGGCACAAACGCTCATGCGAACACACACACGGACACACGCGCCAAAAGTCACGCTAGGCTGAGCAGACTATGGGTTCGCAGGGGACGGTCATCTCGCTGTCAGTTATGGCTCATAACACCAAGACCTGCACACTCCGGTGCGTCGGGGCAATACTCTCCCGCTCTCTCTCTCTAACACGGCCCGGCATTGATATGTCCATTTCCTTTCATTTGCAAAGGTAATAGTTCTCTTTCGACAGCACGCGATGATTCTGCCGTATTGACTATGCAGATGGGTGTCTGGAAGAGGGCCGAGTATGCCGGGACAATCAAATCTGCCATTGACATTCTGTGCTTGGCTGGGGCCGGTGCTGGTTCCCTTCCCAGCTCTCTTAATCTCAAGTCCATTATTTGTAATTCTGAGTCCAATTCCCCATGCCTGTGCCGCTGCCAGCCCGCCGGGCTTGTGTACGGCATCAACAAATGAGGCTTCCCGTTTGGAGCGCGCAGGCAGGGGGAAGAGAGGGGACGCAGCCAGTGGAAACTTGTGGGATTTGGTCAACCACAGGGGTGTGTGTTTGTGGAGTGTGTGTTTGAAGGGGTTGGCATTACGCATCGGTCGGATGTCTCTCTCGCACATGCGTGCGTAAACTCACAATTGGCATGCCTGCTGCGTGTTGGAGGTAATCCGACGGTAGGATCAGCCCCCTGGAGTGTGTAAGTGTGTGTGTGAGCCAGTTCATCTGTGTTTGCATAACTGAGTTGATCTCCGCCATCTTCAATAGAATCTAATATCCCATAATAAGCCGCTCTCTCAATTCCACCAACAACTGTTTTCTTCATATACTCTGAACTTACAGAAATGACTCAATTATACAATAGGAATTAGTGGTGTTAGTGGTAGAGACATGAATGATGCTTTCATTGTGCTGCTTTTTGAGGAGAGGTGTGTTGTTACTGCCCTAAATGATACTTGGTGGATAATAAAATGGGTGAATCATAGATACTTGGAGGTGTGGAATAGGAGAATGTATTTTAGCATACAAAAATTACTCACTTCACCCTTAAGAATAAGGTTTTAAAATGGACAAAACAGCCTTGCTCTCAAGGTTGTCAGTGAATGAGACACGATTTAAAAAAGATGATGCTTTAAAAGAAAAACCTCTAAGTGTCCAGAAAGGAGTGTTTTGTTGTTCACTGGTTGAATTGGTGTTAATTATGCTGTGTAGCCACTCAATGCTTGAAGAATTAAATAACTTTCAGACTGAAGTTGTGTGTGCGTGTGTGTGTGTGTACCTTGCAGTTATTGAAACCCTCTGCAAAAAGTGTGATCTCAGCTATAAGGGTGGAATCTGGCACTACCATAGAGATCGGCCGAAACATAGACTTCAAATTATCAGGCAACTCTGTGCGACCAGCGTAGCCTACAGAAGAAATATACATACACAGACAAGAGAGGGAGGAAGGCAATGAGAACCACAAAAGCACAGACTAAAACATATATTGCCAACTCTTTAACTCTAAAAATTATAATAATAATTCTGTCAATATTTACTCACCCATATATTGTTTCACCTGTATGACTTTATTCAGTGGAATATGAGGGTGTGTTCACACTTGTAGTTCGGTTCGCTTTTAGTCCTGGTCTGGCTTAGCTTTCACATTGGCATTTTAACACTAAAGGCATAGGGATATGTTCACAACCTGATTGGTCGGCTTTTATTACGCATATTTCGTGACTTACCGAACATCCAAAACAATGCTGTGTGCTGTGGATAAATGCGCTCGTTGTGTGTGCGTAGCCTAAATATGATGGTATTTTGACCAGCTGAGAACTCGTGAAGAGTTTATCCTCTTAAGGCCCAAGCTGATTTTTTACAAGCATTTTTTAATTCTCTTTGCTATTTGGGCTTATTGGAACCTAATTAGAATAAAAACTAAGAATCATCTTTTGATATGATGTACTTTTAGAGAAAAATGATGTCCACATATGTGGACTCATGGTCCGAATTTCCATAAAACACAATAAAGTCACCTTTGTGTAATAGAATGAAAAACCCTTTATTTCTGCCTTGAACACAGCAGTTTTTTTCCTGACTGTTTTTTAATGTATTAATAACACATACACACATATTTTTTAACATGTTTTGACTATCAGAGAGTAAAAACAACATGGAAACATTGCAATATTTAAAAATGTATACGATGGTTAATAGGGAGCCAATGCAATGTTGACATAACCGGGCAATATGGTCATACTTCCTGGTTCTGGTAAGAACTCTAGTGGCTGCGTTTTGAACCAGCTGAGGTTTGTTTATTAAGCGTGCAGGGCAACCACCCAGTAGAGCATTACAATGATCTAGCCTTGATGTAATGCACTAACTGTTCCACATTTTTCATTGAAAGCACATGACGTAATTTAGATTTTTTAGTTTTAAAGTTGGTAATTGCTAGTCATCCAGTTTTTATATCAGCAATGCATTAGGTTTTTTTGTATTGGCAAGTTTCGTCGGGGCGTGAAGAAATATAGAGCTGAGTATCATCAGCATAACAGTGAAAACTAATGCCATGCTTCCTAATGATATCTCCCAAGGGGAGCATGTATAGAGTGAACAGCAACGGTCCTAGTACTGAGCCTTCTGCCTTGTGGTACACCATACTGAACTTGTGATCAATAAGACATCTCTAAGGGATCATCGTTATCAGACACATCCAAATCTGTGTTATCTCCATCAATTAACCCAAAGTAGCTCCAATGCTCTTTGCACAGAAAAACGCTCTGGAAATAAAAACATGATAAAATCAAATACAAATTAATTTAATTTATGTAGGTTTGCATTATTTTTTTGTTATTTATTCCAATGGGATAATATACAAGCTAATTTACATGTGCACATTTTTACTAGCATATTACATTTTTACTAACATTTTCAACCCAACTAATTTAAGTATGTACGTATGTATTTAGTGATTTAATTGTTATTTATGTCATTGGGACCATGTGCACCTTTTTAGCTGCATCAGAGCTAGCTTTTTTCCCATTTTATGTGTGTGCATGTTTACTAGTATATTAGCTGTTTCGAGGAGCTTCAGTCCATAAGTACACATACGTGTACTTCATGTTTAGCGACCTACAAAGTTGGTAGTTTTGCACTTTTTTTTCAAATTTGCATGTCATGACAAATATACAAGGCTTTTATAAATATCTAAATCAGAATAAGCCATGAAATATGACAGAACTTCTTAACTGGTCGACGTTTGTGTATGGAGCTACCACTTGAATCTTTCCTTGTGTTTGCCGCCATTTTGAATTTTGACCATAGTGTGTTATAAATTTCTGACACTACCAGATGGCAGTATAAGTACCCCCATACGTGTCCATAACACCACCAATTCAGCAGTGAACACAATTGTGGACATAAGAGCAAAAATGTGCTGTCCACGTATGTGGCCACTAAGCCCTATAATGTGTAAAGGAGTCAAAACAGCGGCAGGAATCCCTCCGTCACACACACAAATGAAGATCTGCTGCGAGGAGACACGGTTCTGATGCCTGTACCGAACTGTGATGGGCAACATCGCGACTATGATGAGAAAAAATAGATATGCTTGAGCATTCTGTCTATTTGAGTGTCACATCTTGTGACATCATGTCTTGTTTTTGGTTCGTTGGGTCCGTGTTGCGTTCATATTTCAGTCGAACCGCCCAGAATTAGTTTGAAAGTGGACTGAGACTCATCTTTTTAGCGTCTCGGTCCGCTTGTTTGGTGGCACCAGGGTTCAGATATCAGCGTTCATACTTATTCAAATGAACCGCACTAACAGAGAAATGGCACCAGGGTTCGTTTTAATCTAACCAAACATGACAAGTGTGAACACACCCGAAAAAAGGAATATAAAAGGGTTATTTTACTCATTGCAAGTAAATGAGGACTTGGGCTGTCAATCTCTTAAAATAAATGAATAAAAACCCTAAAAAACCCTTTTTCCAACTAGCACCTGATTGGATCTAGAAAAGTAGGTGTTTTCATTCAGCCTGTCTACTGTCATTTGGAGGGGCGTGGTTACGGATGTTAAGCAGACACCCAAACCGTCAAACCTACGTCATCAGGGAAGGTCCTCCAATGCAGAGGGGAGGGGAAATTTCAGATTTTGATTAAAGATTACGAAGCCAAAAAAATTTTTTGTGTGGATTGACTTGCATGGATTAATTGTTCACCACAAAATGATCAATTTAGGCAAACAAAGTAAGTATGGTCAATTTTGAATTCATGGGGACTTTAAGGTGCTTGACAGTCCTCATTTACTTTCACTATATGGAGAAAAAGATAGTTGTTTTGTGTTCCACAGAAGAAAGTAAGTTGGCTTGATGGAGAAACATAATGGTGAGTTTTGAGCACCTGGGTTCATGGTGATGAAGATTCCACAAGACCAGACCAAGTTGATCTGTCTTCCCTCAAAGGTGAATTTGTTGAGTCCCGCAGACAGAGCAGACAGGATTGACAGGATCTGCTGAGCCACCACGGACAGGACCTCAATGTTTATCCGGTTAAACTCATCAAAACAGCCCCACGCACCAGTCTGGAGAGACATAAGCACATATTCAACAACACTACATTTACTGTTGTTGAGTTTAAGTGCTTGAATGATGTGATTTACTGGATACCTGAGCCAGCCCGGAGTACATGCGGCCCATAGATTTGAAGTCCAAGCCCTCTGAGCAGTTAACCACTATCACGTACATGCCCAAAGATTTACCCAGATCTTTAACTGTCTCTGTCTTCCCAGTTCCAGCAGGGCCTTTGGGAGAGCCGCCCCGGTGCAGATGCAGCGCTGTGGTTAAAGTCATGTAACACCTACACAGAGAACAAACACATTCTGTGATACATACATACACTGACATATATGATATTTACACATTTATATAATGTGTTCTGGCTAATCATGGCTTGTTAAGGCAAAAACATACTGTAGATATGCATGGAGTTGGTCACATTTGTCACTTTCTTTCTTTATCATGTTTTATGGCCCGTTTTATTCTTAAAGTACACCACTAAAAGGAGGATTTGTAACAAATAACTTCTGTGAATATGTCTTGACAATTCTTAGGGCTAGAATAGAAACAGGGATAGACACACTGCACACACACTGAAATTCACTCAAATCACATGAATCCGTAAGCGCATTCACAGATGGAAAAGAGACAGACAGGCTTAAGCACATTGTCCATGTCCTTGAGTGGGCTTAAGATGTCACCCTCTCAACATAATAAACCCGGATTAGATTCTTCCTTTCATTCCACTGGAGGCACGTTCTGTGCTGATTTTTAGCAGTCTCTGAAGGCACACAACAGGAAATCCGCCATTGACTCCTGACTCCACTTCCTAGCTGGAATCTCTGCATAATTTCAAGTAGACGAAATTATTCACATTTCTGTTCTATTATCACACGGAGACATCTGGAGCTCCTCTCTCTCTCGCTCTTCCTCTATGTGCAGGTGTGCTCTACTGATGGGGAGGTAAGATCTTGACTGATAAGGTTAATAACATGATCCCTGTCTCTCACTCATAATGACTTGGATAATGGCAGAAGTCAGATAACAGCATCAGAGTCCCCATAATGATCATTACAAAGCAGCTGATCACATCAGTCAAATGCAGGAGTTGACTGTCACACGAGATATTGATATCTCTAGTAATATGAGAGTTATAGTATAATATGAGAGTGTAGGTGATTATATCTCAGCCAGAGGTCTTGGTGGTGTTAATGCATCAACATGCATAGTGACACCCAGGCATGTACATGAACTCAAATATACATATCAAGAGTGAGAGTACAATACTACATGATTCACTCGGATGTTACTGTGTTCTGTCTGAGGGAACTGGTTATCAGGGCCTGGTTGCGACTAAGCCCTCAAGTTAAGAAAATCCAATTTATAAGGTTAAGGATACATCGGTGAAACATCGGTTGGAAGAAAAAACCTAAGGGTCCACTTAAGGACGTCATTAAATGTTTCCCCTTAATTGCTTAAGTGTTTCTTTAAGTTCTGTTAATTGGGGCAAAATATATTTTTATTGAAAAGTATTAGTGGCGCTCTGTGGCACAGAAGGATTTTTAGGGTTGGTGGCATCGGTGTGCGTGCAAGTGTTCGTATTTTAGGATGCTGTGTTGTCTGCCAGACCCACATACATGATCTCCATAAAGCAAATATTGTTGTACAGCTGTATAGTTGTAGTAAAGGTCAGCAGTCCGTTATTTTCCGTTAACTGTGGGAGATTTCGTAACTAAACAACCAACGTTTGTTGCACCGCTCCTAAAGAAATCCCGAACCTCAGGCATTTATTTCCCCCTCAGGGATACTCTTTAGTCAAATCACTGGAGGGGTTTCAAGCAACCGGCCACTGACCTTTTGATTTAAAGCTTCATTCATAAAATGCATGACAATTTTTTATTTTATCGACAAACATATGAATGTATGAATTTCATTACACAACTAAAATAAAAACAATAATAATAAACACAATTAAATTTCTGAAAATGGATGAGTGAATTAAAGCAGGCAGTAAAGTGCCTGGGATAGAGTATATGGGAACTTAAAAAGCGTCTCTTCATAAAGAATGTTTGGTGTGTGCAGAGATGTCATTTATAACAAAGAGCGGCTTATTTCTCAAAACCCTAAAATATAAGAGTTTTTGATTTTGTTCAATCAGTTCATTTTTGGTCACCACATAATGACTTCACTTTTATTCCAAAATGTGAAAATAGATTCAAATAATAATAATAATGAAAACAAAGTGTCTGAACTTTCCACCATGGGGGACTAATGTAATGTAAAATAAAGTTTTTTTTTTTTATATTCATGACATTTAAATGTTTATGACATTTTTGTTATTTTTCATTTCTTATGACATTTAAAACATTCAGAATTCACGCACCATGTACCTTTGGAATATCTATTACTACAGGTATATATTTTTGAAGTGGACAGATAAGTAACTGGCAAAATCCATTTTTGGGGGGGGGGACAAAAAAAAAGAAGATTGAGAATGATTGCAATCTTTTTATGAATTTTATTCAAAAGTTTTTATATGTTAAAATAAGGGTTTTGTTTTAAGACCTGCACTATACTAAAGACTTCATATAGAAAGACAGTGCACTCGTATTACTATGAATGGAAGAAATGCAACGCCCAATATGGCTGAACAAGTCCCGCCTTCTAAATAAAAGAGCCAATCGCATGCGCATTGGCTGCTCCAGCCTGAAAAAACTAACTTTAACGCTATTTGAGCATAAGAAACCACATTTATGATACAGTTGTTGTCAGATTTCATTGGTGATTGCAAATATGAAATTTAATCGTAAGCTTGCTGAACAGCTTTGAAGAATTTTTCCAATTTAACCCTCTGGTGTTCTTCGGTCGTTTCCGACCGGAAGTTTTTAAATAAAAAAATGTTAAAAATCGTAGCTTCATTGGAATGGTACGAAACTTGGTGACTTTTATGGTACTTGGTATATGAACACACAAAAAAATTGGGGACATGATTTGAAAAGTCTAAGTGGTAGTAAAAAAAATAGTCACACTCATGGCCTTCGGTCAAAAATGACCGGCCATAGGATATGAATGGGAAAATGGCAAAAATATGAAAATACAGAGGTTTTTTTGTGCGTACAATCTACAAATCAGCCACGATGCAGAAAAAAAGCATAACACAGTGAAGGGGTGAATCTCTAAAACATCAAGAGTGCAAAACAGACAAATACACTCACACACACACACACTTATACACACAAAAACACACGCACACACAAATGAACGTGTGTCATTGCAAAAGCTAATTTTGGGAAATGTGTGAAATAAAAGCAATTATTCATCAATGTAAGGAATAAAAAGCACACAGATATGAAAGCATGAGACTGTAAGCCATCAAGGTTGCAAAATAGACATGCTCACACACACACACACACACACATAGGGAAATATGAGACTGGTGAAACTGTAACAGAGAAATGTGAGAATATGTGAAATCAAATCAATGAATCAAATAAAGGGGAGACATTGGGTCCAAAATGCAAAGGTCACACACTATGTCTCTCTCTCTTGAACACACGCACACTGCACACACACACACACAGTGTAAGATCAAACGATGGAATTCTTCCCTAGTAACCTCCAGGCCTATTGCAGCACATATGTGCTCTTTTGATGTGTTTATTAGAGGTTGAATTCAAATCAAATACTGTCAAACCACCCATACTACTTCTGAATAGGATGTCTACTTCATAAATTGTATGAAAATTATTGAAATACATGGTTCAGATCACTCAAAACATATATGAAAATGGAGGCGCCCTTATATGGTCAGTAAGGAAGCTTGGCGTTCCATGCATCTAGTGAAAAAGTTTGGTATGCGCCAAAATAAAATCTTGACTGAAAGCTTATTTTTTGAGATATCAACCTAAAATTTGGAACAAAACTTCTTAAGATTTTTGGCTTTCATTTTCTTGCAGTTTTAGAGTAAAATATATTTTATAATATATATATTTTATATAAAATATAAATAATAAAAATTTTACATTGTTCATTTTTATTAACTCAAACTTTCATAACTTTTTTTCTGTTTCACTTTCATAATTTCTTTCACGTCTACAATAATCTGGCAAATGTCTTCTTTAAAACAAGACCAACCATAGGTCTATATTCCAAAGCATTCTTGAATTACAACCATTTAAGTTTGGATAGTGATTTTCATGTCTATGCGAAAAGAATATAATTTTTATTTTATTTTTTAAAAATAAAATAAAACAACCAAACAAACAAAAAACTTGACAAAAATAGTCTTTGAGAATCACTTATTATAAATTAAAATCCACAACCTGAAAAAAATAGGCAAATATGTGCAAAAACAACTAGAATTCACAAGCCTTTCTACAGAGGCTGTAAATCCATCTAGTGGTTAAAATATGATATTGCATGATAATTATGCTCACTACATCCACCAGATGGCTCCAATGTGATTTAAAAAAATGTTTTCTATAGGCCAAGGATCCACTTTAACCTGAAATACAGCATTAATTAAAAAATAATAATAAAAAAATATATATATAAATTTTCTATTATATTCAATGGGAAAAAATTTATCATAATTATTGCATAAATATTAATTATTTTCATAAAATTCTCTCAAAACACAAAAAAGAAAAAGAAAAAATATTATTGAACAAAAAATAAATTTAATTGATTTTACTGAAAATAAAATAAAAATTGATTTCAGGGGTCCGGTCACTTTTGACCGCGAAGGTCTTGAGTGTGACTGGAAAACGAAGAACTCCAGAGGGTTAAAGAGAGAGGAGCTGTACTTGCATGACTAAAATAGCTGTCCAAGAGGCGTTTCAAAGATGGCCGCCGATTGAAATGACTTGCCTGAAAGGGTTTCGACTGTACATATGGTTTCAAATTGATCATATGTGTTACCTGTCTGTGAGGGGGGTGATGACCAGACGACCTGAGTTGCCCAGGTACTCATAGCCATAGCGAAAGTGTGTGTTGGTCTGTTTGATGACGCAGTCGTCTACATCCTACACAAACAGACAGAGACATTTAGACTGTTGTGTTGACGACCTTCTGCCTATTCTATACGTTTTCTCCATCCTTCATCCTGCCTTCCCCCTAACCTTTTCCCAGTACAGGCGTAGTTGGCACAGCCAGTCGAAAGCGTTGACGTCACAACAGCCTGCTTTGGCCAGTTTGCTGATGACATCACGGGCGTGGACCTCCACGGTGACCAGTGCGACGATCTTCAAGCGCAGAATCTTCGTTAAGTTTCCTCGTATGGCTTCAGAGTACTGACTGAGCATGGACACCTGAGTAACACAATGCAAACACTCATTACTAGAAGACAGGCACACTCAGACGCAACGCAAACTAATTTTATGGATCGGGGGTTCCAGATCAAACCTAGCCGCTGTTACTCCAAACATACTCGGTAAACATCAGCTGAGACGTGTAATGTAAATGTAAATTAACATCAAAAAAATCCCCACCTTCCTTAAGCCCAAGAAGCCATGCTCTGAGACTAAATCTCAACTCTCAAAGACAGAGACAGGCCTAAGCCATTCTCTGTGTCTCACTGGCTTTGGCTTATAAGATGTGATTGGATTAAATTCATTTGAGCTGCCGTCCTTAATTAACTTGTGTATGTAGTGTATCCTGTGCTCCAAGTACAAACACACATAAAATGAATAACTCATTTCCCATAAAGGGTTTTGAGTGAAGTCAGTAGTGTATATGGAGTTCATCCACCAGTTATTAGCAGACTCGCATTGAATCTGTGCCCGTAAGACTCCACAGAGAGCTCCGCAGATTTCTGCAGAATCAAAACACCTGTCATTCAGAAAATTCGACAAATCCCTTACTGCTTGTGTGTTTGTTAATTAAATATTAGGGATGATTTTTATTTTGCTTTCAGCTACTAACAAGTGTGTAGTATCCTCAGCTTTATTTAACACCATGTTGTAATTCATTCCAGAGAATCCTACAGATTTCCTTCTAAATTGGCAAAGAAAATGGGGGAAAAGTCTGCAGATTCGATCTAGATATAATTATTAGAATATTTAATTCCTTTGCATACCACATCTGACACTAAATGAAAGTATAAAATATTAATTTACATGTTTTGGACTGTAACTATAATTAGTCCATGATATATATATATATACACACACACACACACACAGTATATACACACAGTATATGTTTATACATATTAAATAAATATTTATATACATATTAAATAAATATTTAATTAATTAATTAATTAATCCTTTTTGGATTCAAACACTTTTCCACCTGTCGCTGGTGGGACAAAAATGTAATGTACAGACCTTTATTGTACATTTAATTGCAGTTAGGGCCTAACTATCTTTCTTTACCAAGAGGACAATGGCAGCATAAATTCGTATAATTCATAAATTGGCCTTTCAGATGTTTAAACCGGTGGCCTGTGAATCACTAGCCCAAATCTGTAACTGCTCAGCTCCTCTCACCTGTTTCTTTTTTAGTGATTTAAGGGCAGATTTATCTCCTCTCTCTTTGCTGGTCATGAGGGCTCTGGTGACATCTGTGGTCCACTGGATTTGACTGGCTGTGATCAACATCTGGAAAGACAAGCAAAGCACATTATGCTGTGTAATTGCTGCATGTACACACACACACAGACACACACACACACACACACACACACACACACACCTGTCCTGGCCAGTCTCGCACCCATTTGCCCCTCTTTCCTGGCATCTTCTTGAGAGCCCCGGAACAGTTCTTTAGACAGTCCTTCAGATTCCAGCGCATGGTTCGCTCGACATCACACAACCACGCCTACACATACAAGACGAGAAGCTCAATGGAGAATGCATTTGTCAAGAAAGGCTGTGTTGGACTGTGTGTTAGAAACACACCTCCACTGGCCCCTCCAGAAGAACAGGATGAGTGAAGTCAACAAACTCCCCATCAGCTGAGAACATCCCACTGGCCTCCGACTTGCTGTTACTGATCCCAACCTACACACACACACACACACACACATACAAACAAACAGATTATTAAACTAATATTCATGCTGAATCCCATACATTTCTGAAATGTTAAATATATACAAATAATGTGATATAAAATTGCTCAACTGCACATACAGTATAAGATTTTGGTCATGTCACTCAGCTCTAGTGTGTCTGTACCTTGTTGATGCGAAGACTTCTGATGTTGTCAAAGCACTTCTTGAGGTGCGGCTGCACAGCGTCAGGGTTGCGTGACTGACCCAGGATCTCCAGGAGGTCATCGTTAGACAGAAAGTAAAATCGAGGAAAGACCTGCCGTTTGGTCTCCAGGTACATGTCCAGCGACTTCTGAATTTCCTCTAACCTAGTGTTCATTTCTAAGAGCTTCTCTAGAAGACCTGAGACAACATAAAAAAAAGGAACATACATGTGTTCTTTATTACCCGTTCTTTCTTTACATGTTCACATCTTAGTATTCAGAAGTGTAACACATTTTTCCAGTAGAAACTGCAACGCTCAATATGTCCACTGTAGAAAAGAAAGACCCTCCTTTCAATCTAAAGAGCTTTATAGATGTTTAGTATTGGTTTCCATTAGCAAGAACAACCTATACAATACTAAATGTTTTGCCTGATGTGATATGGTAAAAGATGCTAAATTGTTGTTCATAGTTGTCACATTTTATTGATGGTCTAAAAAAACGTTAAACAGAAGGAGCTGTACTCTCAATAAAATAATACTAGAACAATACTAGAATACAAGAAAACACATTTGGTGTGTGTGTGTGTGTGATGGCAGTATTTGTACTTTGCAGTTGTTCTGCATTTACTGTACATGTTTTTTCCAACCTAATAAAAAAAAAAAATCAGGAGGGAACTGTAGGGAGTCAGTGAGAAAAAAAGCTAATACTTAAATCATAAAAATAAATCAACCGACATCAGAGAAATGTGAACATGCACATTTGCTGTTGAATAACTGAAATATTAACTATAATATTAATCTCAGAGGGTACTTCAAGTAAATATAAACTAAAAAAGGTTAGACTGACAAAGAAGTCTGGGAATTACAGTAATGAGAATAGTGGAATCTGCAAAGATGCCTGAATGAATTATGTTTGTACTTCATTGTCATTCAAATAATTCTGCATTGCAAAATTCTTAATGATTAACCTGTTTTATGTTCTTTATGCAAAATAAAATGTTTTCCCAGATGAAATGTGACCTGGACACACTTCATCCATCTGCCAAGGAGTGTTGCCAAGCTAGCGGTCAACTGAACTGACTTTCTCCAGTCAGGCATTTTTTATCACCACTGAGGGCGGTGACATCCAGCACCATCCCTTTATCACCTGGGTGGTGTGTTCCTCTGAGAGCATTTTTGTCCTCATCGAGTCGGCCCATGATGATCTTCCAACTGGAGTTGACGTCATCAAACTCAGCCGTCTCACGAACCAACTGCTTACGTATGTCATCTGCCAGAAAGATGTTCTAAAGAAAGAAAAATTAAAGAAGCCATCACAGGTGTGTTTACAAACACTAGTACACACAGGAGATCCAGGCTGACAGCCACTGTTTAGTCAATAGTCACCTTCATTTATACAGCGCTTTTAACAAAATAGATTGTTCCAAAGCAGCTTTACAGTGATAATCGGAAATTACAGTAACAGAGATTGTTTTGGCTTTACAGCAGCTCTAGAATAAAGTTATTGTCCAGCTAAAGTTAGTTTTGATTGATTGATTGATTCACTTCCGTTGCAAAGATCATTAGTTATTAACTTAGGGGCCGCTTACACGACACCGTTCTAACAGAAAACACGCAGCGCGCTCCGGCCCGCTCATCCGCACAAAACAGTGACTGGTGGCTCGAGAATGCAAACCCTGAAATAGATTCCAAGGTGCAAGCCTTGAAAATTTTTGTAAAAAAAAGGTTATCTCTGCGCAAACCCGTGAAAACGCCGACGGCGTGCACATGCGCATCAAGTCTTTAGTCATAGGTATGCGCGTTTGGATATATATGTTTACTCTCCTCGTCAGCTGCAACAAAACAGATGTGTGACTCTGAACTCAACTATGAGTGTGTGTGAGATGATTATCATTTACAGTGAGATTGTGCCTCACATGTAGAGAGGACCACTCTGTGATCTAATGTGACTGGTGTTTATTGAAAAAGAGCCGTGTGTGAGGAAGGTCAGGAGTGTGTTGTGTATATAGCTGGATAATGTAACCATAGTCGTTTAAAGCATATGAGAAGCATTTGAATGATTAACATGCTGTATAAAACTGTAGGAAGTGCTCTGTGTGTGTGCGTACCTCTAGATACATCCACTGCCTTTGTACCGTGAGGATCATTTCAATGATTTCCAGCACCAGAGACAAACAGCGTTCCCAGTGGTCAACTTCCTTTTCAAATGCTTTGGCGAAACGAGATGCTTTCATGACAGAGAGTGTCACCTGGTTATCCTCCAGAGCCTGGAACACTTCCTCTGTTCCCCTGAGTACACACACAAACACAATTTAGAGGGCATATTTGTGAGAACACGTCATAGACCAGGGGTTCTCAACCAGGGGACCGGGACCCACTAGGGGCCTTGGAACACTTCCAAGGGGACCGCAAAAGGGTTTAAAATAATAAGTCCTAAAATAAGCTAAAACAGCTAAACATAGACATATTTTATTTGCATTTGCAACTGCCTACTTAATCATAAGTGATAAGCACATTTCTAAGACCTCTCATTTATCCACATGATATAAACTTTGCTGAAAACACAATCTACCATATGCCTTCTGTGGTCTGATTGATAATTTATACCTTTTTAGCATGTAAAAAGTCTTTTAGTATAATACTAAATATGTCCCCCTTCAGGTCATGGTTACGGAGCCCCTAAAGGTGCTCACGAGAAACTATTGCGTGCGCATGGGCATTTTTATTTGGAATTTACAGTTTAAGTATATTATAACCTATTTCCTTTGTGCGCCTTAGCCATCTTACTATAAAGAAAAAGAGTGCATGGAGGCACAGAGCTGGGGAAAGTTACTTTTCAAAGTAATGCATTTCAATATTGCGTTAATTCCTAAAAACTAGCTAATTGCATTACTTAGTTAGTTTGTATGGAAAGTAATGCATTATGTTACTTTTGAGTTACCTTTTCTCACCTGGGCTAGGCTTGCTTGTTTTTTAACAAAAAAAAAAGTTATATTTTTGGCAAATGTAAAGGCCCTTTCTCACCAAAAGTGCAAATGCAAGGAAATGCAAATTCACGTCTGTACAGTAGAGGGCGCAGCTCAAACAAACCTTTCAGCTGTGCTGCTGTTCTGGATTGCAGAAGAATAGTAGCCTGGGAAAACCCAGACAACTTCCGGCAAATTTAGATTTGCTCTGAAAGTTAGTCTGGCAAAGAGCTCATTCAAGCCCATTTCCAATCCGTCGAAATCGCGGCACCAATCAGAAACCTTGGGGCGGGCTTTACACGATGACGACAGCACAGCGACGGTGAAGCAGATTTTGTACATTTACAAAGATGGATGCAGGGGTGTGACGGTTATAGTTGACCACCGTCATTAGAACTCTATAACCCCAAAACCATGTTATGAAAATTCACAAACATTTTTTATCATAGAGAATGTTTAAATACTAATATCAGCTTACGAGGGAAACGGAGGCGGAGTTAGTGGTGCTTCGGAGGCTGCTACTGCTGGAGATGATTCGGGAGAGGTCTGTGCACCCCCTCACAAGAAGAGAAATCTTGGAGACCTCCTTAATAAACGGAGGTCTGAAATCTCTGCCCCTTTACTGATCAGAGCGCACGCTGACACGGAGTAAAGCCTTGTTTATACTCGACGCGTCCGCTCCATTTTGCTTGGCTGTGTGCACGGCTTTACGTAGAGCAAGTAGCTAATCAGTGTCTAGTTGTTCTATAACAGACGAACGTCGCTCTGCATACGTCATCTCCTTCATCGCTCTGATTGGTTTTAGGTCTATCCAATTGCGCCCGGAGGCATTTGAGCTACGTCCGTTGGTGACGCCCCTCTGGAAATGATTTGTCTATGAAGCTTTGCCAGACCATAACTCAGTTACAACTGAGAATGGTCTGGTTTTAACCAGGCTAGAAGAGTAGGACACAGGAAAAGAAAGTTCAAAACTTCAACACTTCAGCAATAAAAACAAAAAAAATTCAAGTAATGATTAATACTTTTTTTTTTTTTTTTTTTAAACACCTAAAACTAGCATGAAATAAATGTTAAAGCAGAAATAAGAAAGCTGTAAAGTAATCTCTGGTTTAAACTCGCTCGCTCCGCACTTTCATGCGTGCTCAGCTCTCTCCGCATTGGATTGTGGGAAATAGTGCTTCAGAAAGTGTACATCGAATGTACACTCGAATTCAGAGAGGATTGTGGGTAAGAGTAGTGAACGAATGTAGGGAAGGATGTCGTTCACTCAGAATTCGGACACCACTACAAAATGGCCGACACCCGATATAGTGCACTATATAGTGGATAGGGAGCGGTTTCAGACACAGCTCAGGTCTTGATATTAGAGGTACTGCCTTAAAGAAATGCCACATTTTTAGCAAAAAGATCCCTGCTAATTCATGCAGATGCTAAATCATCCAGAAACCAGAAATAAAAGCATGCAAACAATACACGTGAGCACGTAAAAAGTTTCTCATGCGCACACAAATGTTTCTCATGAGCATGCAAGTTGCGAGTGCACACACGAAAGTTTGTATATTTTTTATGGTAACACTTTAGTTTAGGGTTCAATTCTCACTATTAACTAGTTGCATATCAGCATGCATATTACTAGGATACTGGCTGCAATGGTTTTCATACTAAGATAATAGTATTTACTAAACCTTACCCTCACGCAACCTGTAGACATTAAACAATCTATTAAAACATGATTTATGAGCATTTTAAACAGTCAGGACTGCTTCAAACCCCAGTTTTTGATGATCATAACTATGACCAAACATGTACACGCACACAAAGCATATTTATAAAAGGCACATTCACAATACAACTGAAATAAAATAAGGTAATATAGAGAGCTCAAGGTTCTGTCTGTTATTCATTTCGACAAACTACCACACATCCCTTTCTCTAGCGCGCACACAGCTCGATGTATGAAGCAAACAAAAGAGAGGACAAAGTGAACAGCAGTGGCTCTCGACCCCCCTCCTCGGCGTACTGCGTTGCCATGGCTGCAGCCTCACGTGCTGCCGCAGCCGTCTCCATGCCAACGGCACCTGATGTCCGCATGCTAACGCAGAAACACACTCACATACATTCACGCGAGCACACGAACCCGGAGGAAAGACACACACACAGGCACAAAACGTCACACATCTCTTGATTTCTCAGATTGAAGCCGCAGGTGTGTGTGTGTGTGTGTGTGTGTCATTCATCTCTGTTTGTCTCTCCATCTCCCCAAGCTCTAACCAATGCTGCTGCATGCAGAGTGTGTGCATACGAGCAACGGAGGAGCACTGCACACACACTTTGCACTTTACACATCAATGTCAGTTGGTGAAGGACACAAAACAAGTGAAAAAGATGAGTGTAAATGCCTTAAAACAACCTCTTCACACTCTGTCTTTCTCTGAGAGGGAGCACAGGGCTGATGGGAAGGCGTAGTGAGGAAAGAGAGAAAGAAGAAAGGAGGAGAGTATAAGAGGAGGTGAGTGACAGTCGTGGGCCACCTGACCTCCCGAGCGACAGCATGAAACCAGGCACAATCTCTGGCCTGCGGCACCTACAGCCTCACACTCAGAGGAATAATCTGTCTGTTTTCCAGTCCAGGTAACATGACAGACACATATAGCATTCGACACACATCACTGAAGCAGCGCCTGAGGGAAAAACACAAGTGAAGTCCAAGAGCATTTATGGTGGAGGTGAACGCCTTTGTCTGTAATGAGTCTGACTGATATTAGTGGAACTTGCAGTTGCATTTCATGAATATTTTAGGAAGGAGACCAACAGGTTAGAGCACAAAGACAAAGACACATTCTCTCATGTGCATTTGGTATCATTTAAATGAGATGAAATATTTTTAACAGGGCTGCCCCCTAATAGTTGACTGACCGTTAGTCGAAGAGAAGAGGCTTAGTTGACCAAAACTTTATTAGTCGGTTAGTTGGAGGAAACAGAACTCCACAGGAAGTGGCGAAGTCACGCAGTCCGTGAGGGACAGATCATTAACGGCGGGTCCGTGTGGTAATTACAGTATGTGGAGCAGGAAATCCAAGCATTCGCCTATCATCCATCGACCTCAAATATGGCTTATTATTGGAACATGTTTTTACATAACTCTAATGTTAACCTAGATAAATGTGCGCTATTAGGAGCATATCCAAGTGTTTGTGTGGAGTGTGGAAGCTAAAGAATTAACGCGCTTCCTTCATGACATGGAGGCGCCGGCGCTATCACTTGCATTTTTTCCTGGTAACAGCGGAAACTGCTTATTATTATTCATTGTTATTACTTATAGAAATAGTCATTATTGGTCATTAATGCATCATTCGAAACTGTAAAGGGTCTACTTTTATTTGTGTAAACTCACAATAAAAACAAAACGTTGTGCTTTTGTAAAATTAAGGATGCGCTTTCTGCCGTCTCAGTCTCCGTGAACTGGAGCGCGTCACAAAAATGAACCAAAACTCAGAGTATAGGCAAATGACAAATATATCTATAGAAAGCTTGAAATTAAATTAATTCATTTGAATCGAAAACAGATGAAAGTCAGCATCGCCAACTTCATCTTTGCAGCTGACACTGACTCAGAAAACACTAATTTATTAATAAATAATTAAAATGGCTCCTTGCTATTTTGTCCGATTTTATTGCTTTGCGGAAAGCTTTATGTGTGCGCTTGAGCAGGGAATAGGCTATATATTAAGCCCCCCCCTAGTATATATTTAAGCAATTCAATTCATATAAACGTGCGATTAGTCGACTAATTGCTTAAATGAACGACTACGAGTCAACTGGAAAAACCTTTAGTTGGGGGGCAGCCCTAATTTGAAATATATAAATCACACTAGTTTGCTAGTTTGGGGTTGGTAGGTCAGTTTTCGCAAAAAGTCTCTTATGCTCACCAATGTTGCATTTATTTGATCAAAAATAGAGTAAAAACAGTAATATTGTGAAATATTATTACAATTTAAAAGAACTGTTTTCTATTTTAAAATGTAATTTATTCCTGTGATCAAAGCTGAATTTTCAGCATCATTACTCCAGTCTTCAGTGTCACATGATCCTTCAGAAATCATTCTAATATGATGATTTGCTGCTCAAGAAACATTTTCTGATTATTGTCGATGCTGAAAACAGTTGCACTAGTTATTTTTTTTAGGAAACTTTGCAATGTATTGCATTCTTGATGAATAAAGGTATTAATTTCTATAAAAAAATCTTACTGACCCCAAATTATATTCTATTATGTTCCATTTAAGTATGTTTCTTAATATAATTGGAACACGATGTAAGAAC